ACTTACATGGTGATTTCATATTGACTCTCTCAATCACTGTGACATTCCTATGAAATAAAATGAGCAGCCTAAACCGGTTTGGCTCAATGGATAGAGCGTTGGCTTGGGGACTGAAGGGCCCCGGGTTCGATTCCGGTCAAGGGCATGTACCTTGGTTGCGGGCATATCCCCAGTAGGGGGTGTGCAAGAGGCAGCTGATCGATGACTCTCTCTCATCGATGTTTCTAGCTCGCTATCTCTCTCCCTTCCTCTCTGTACAAAATCAATAAAATATATTTTTAAAAAAAGAAAAGAAATAAAATGAGCAGCACTTTTACCAACCAGCTCAGAAAGTTAGGTAATCTGTCAACTTTCACTTGATAAATATTGGAGCCCAGATTTCAATCAAGGTCTCTGACTTAAAGTTTCATGATATTTTACAATTCTAAAAAGTGGTTATTCAAGCCAAAGGCAGGAAGAAGATGGAAAGTGATAAAATTGGGATAATCAGTTCCTAGATAACTGAACTGAACAAAAAGAACATGAGACCAGCCCTGGCCGGTTGGCTGGAGCATCCAACACCCATACTCGGGTTTGGGGCTCCAGGTCCTGTGGGGGTATGTGTGGGAGGCCACTGAAGCTTCTCTATCATATCCGATGTTTCTCTCTCTAAAATCAATTTTAAAAAAAGAAAAAAAAGAAAAAAAACTTTACCAATGAATATAAGATCAGTTTGGTAGTTATAAACTCAATACGCAAACTGACTAGCTATTAAAACTAATGATAACCTCTAATTCATATCATTCCACATCTCAACAACCTTGTCACGTTTCAGACAAGAGTGAAAAAAATTTCTAGATAAAAAAATAAGAACAAGACATACATTAAACAACACGTCTGAATTTTGTTTAAAAAAGCGTACGCTTCTAAACAGCTTGGTCGGCAGCAGGGATGACGCTTTCAAGTGCTAGAAAGCGGGGAGGAAGGAGAGGTGGGAACTCTACAGAAGCTTAGAAGGGCTTGCAAACCAGTGGCGCTCAAGGCAAATGGTCGGGGAGCCCAGTGTGTGGATTCAGGGTGCCGGCGGCCAACCCCGCAGAGGTGTCCCAGATAACCAGGCACCCCGAGTCAGGAGCCGCGGAAAACACTGCTTGGAAGTGGAAATCACGGTGCCCGGGTCTGCACGGTGCCAGAGGGAGAGCTGGGCAGAAGCTGAGCTAGTTCCGAGCCACGTCTCGGGGTCCCGTCCCCAATTCCCGGGACTCGTGTACCTACCCGCTCGGACCCCGGCTTCTCCGGATCTCCGGATCCTAAAAGCCGCACCAGACCGACTCTCACACTCGCCCGCAGGGCTCCGGCAAAACCGGAAGTCGGTCGCGTCACTTCCGGTCCGTGTTCCCCCGGGAGACCCGTTTCCTGGAGAGAAACGTTCCCACCTCCTTCCGGCAACCTCGGCTGACGGTCGCAGGATTTGGGTTCGGGACCTGTGGGCGGAGCGAGGGAGGATGACTGTTCTCTCCCCGGCTCTTGATCCGGAACTTGTTGTCCGGGAGCCGCGGAAGAGGCACCTCGTGCGATCGAAGCGTGCTCGCTCCTCGGAAGGGAAGAGCCTGGAGACGCGAGCGAGGCGAGGAGAAGCGCGCTAGGTAGGTAGGTCGGCCCCTTACTCGGCGAAGGGGAGGGTGACGTTCTCCATCCTCTCTCCAGCTGGGTTGTTTCTTCCCATCTCTTTCCGTAAGTCGCACCCCCACCCTTTCATCTTCGGAAATCGCCTTCCTCCCAATAGCTGCTGGAGCCACTGTTCCGGTTCTGCTAGCCATCCTTTGAAAGAAAGGTCCGAGGTGCTAGGGAGGGGGAAGGGCCCAGAATTTTCAGTTCCCAGACAAAGCCTCCATTCAGGAGGCATCCATGTGCCTCGCACTCGGCTGAGTTTTTATTGAAGCGAGTTGTTGAGCCCTACGAAGGGAGGGGAAAAAAATGTTTCTAAGAATGTGATTGAAAATTTGGTTCCCAGACATAATGGCTAGAGAAATATTTAAAATATTAAAGAAGTAGACCCCAGAGACTATGACCCACAGGAGGAGTTAATATAAGTGCTACAGCAGCTGGGAAGACTAGTTAAGACTGGGGTTGATAAATATTTTCGAGACAGGCATTTATTTGAACTGCGCCCTAAGGAGTAAAAAGATGTTTTTGTCTGTGTGTTTATTGAGTGGAGAAAAATAATTGCAGGGAAGGATTGCTGCTTGAAGGAACCTAGTAATTTGGTGTGGCTGGATAGTACAGTAAGTGGCAGGATCGTAAGTTAGAAGGATAAAGTAGGTTGTAACCCAATTGGGTAGCGCTGTAACTTCGTGCGAAGGGGTTTATGTTTTATTCTTCAGGCGTTTATCCAGTGATTTTTGAGCAGGGAAGTTAGACTCAGGTTTGTGTTTTAGGAGCATAATTATACTGGCATATGGACTAGGATGAAGTAGGGCACGAGTGAAGCAATGTGGAAAGATTAGAGGTAATGAAATTAGTTTTAGAGGCTCTTGGCCAAGAGATAATTGGGGCACTGCTTAGGTAAGGAGATGGTTTAAGACAGATCAACTCAACAAGTGTTGGTGACTGGTTGGTAGGACAGAAGAGAAAAAGTCCAGAATTACATAGAAATGAAAAATTCAGGAAAAGGAAGTTTGAGAGGGAAGGGAAGATACTGTGTTCAGTTTAGATCACTTCATAGACATCTCAGTGGTGAGATCTAGCAGAAGCTGGAAATTGAAATTTGGAGATCAAGAAAGGCTTTAGGGGTCTTCGGTATTGGGTGATTTGGGAATAGAGCTTTGAAGATGAGCTTTGTATCATGGCCTTGATATTGAGCACATTTTAGTACTGCTCTTATTATGTTACTGTGGATAAGCAGCTTCTCTGATTCTTATCTTTAAAATGAGGCTAATATTTTCCTTTTATTTTCATAGCAACAGTAATGGAAGTAAAAGGTTTAGCATGTTCTTCAACATATAATAGGTCTTTTTCTGTACAGGGTGGGGCAAAAGTAAGTTTACAGTTGGTCATATAGAAAAGAATTAATAAATAATACAAGAATAAACTATTTTGTGTATTCACAACTGTAAACCTACTTTCTCCGGATAGTACCTGATTTCGACATATGAGATATTTGGTTACTTTGCAACCTATAAATTAGAGCAGAGAATCTAATTGTTCAGTTTAGAGTCTGGCCATTAAGATTATCAGAGAAAAGTCCCAATGTGGGTTCTAATAATTTATTTTTCTGGCTGCAAAGACATCTAAGAGTCATACAGTCCTATGTCTGCACAGCCTATTAGGCACAGCAATTAAAGAGGACTGAAACCATGTGTGATCCTTTGACCTCTAGCCACGCTATCACTCTTTTTTGAACCCTAAATGTTCGTTTCCTCAGGATTTTGTCTTAGCCCTTTCTTCTCTCTACTTTTCCCAGTGGCCTCATCCACTTTCATCACTTTGATTACCTCAGTTGTATGTTAAGTTCTCTTAAATCTGTATTTCTAGCCTGGGCTTATCTTCTGACCACTAAAATAATCTACATATACACTATCTGAAATGAGAACTCCTATGAAATCTTTTTAAAGTAGAAATGGATGGTATGAAGTGAAAAAGAAATTCCTGTTAACTTATATGGAAAAATTTGTTCCCAAGCCCCAGAAAATAACCTACGAAACCATACCAAATAATACAAGAAGCCTAAAATAATACTTGCATAGTAAAAGCAGTGCCACTCTTACTACTCGGGGTGCATGCTGCCTCTGTATTGAATCGCTGAAAAACAGTGAACACTTTTTGCTTTCTGCCTTTTTTTTTTTGTAAACTGGAAGATCTTCGGATTTCTTTTTGTTACTGAAAACAGGTACTAATGTAGGTTTTTCACAAAAGCGAGTGATGTAACATGGATTTTCAAAATGCGGGAGATACCTCTATCTTTTTTATTTGCTAGTCATCTCTGACCAGGATGTCTTTTGATCAAAGGAAATGTAAATGTACAATTTAAAGCTGATTTTTCAGTATCTTTTACTTTCAAAGAACTGTATATGTTAAAAGTTAATTTTGTAGTATATAAGTTATATAAAATTTAACATCCCCTTCCTCTGCACTATCCTTATATTAAAATATTTGATAAAACTGTATGTAATTCACCATATAAACTCTTGAAGCATCAATGTCTTAATTTCAGCATGAGAATAAAATTTATGATAAAATATGTATTTCCAAGATCTGTGCCACAGAATCACATGAACCCAATAACCTCAAATGTAGACCAGTATGTTTTACTGGTGACTCAAATGCCATGAACTGCTTTGCAGGGTACCAAGAATTAATTTTTAAGATAAAAAAGGATAAAGGACAATCTCCCTTTGTTTTTATATAATGCACTCTGGTAAATTCACTGTATATTAAATGCAAAAAATATTTTGTACGTAAAATGAAATTGGGTCGTCTTGTGTATTAAGTTTTGCACTTGTAGTGATATCCAATGGGACAAATCTTCACTTGTAAGACATATAGCATTCTATGCTCAGGTCTAGTAAATGTTAAGCAAGGCACCTCACTCCACACCCATTACATAGACAACCAAGAACCTGTCTGAGGGGCTGGTACCATCCCACGTTGCAGTATGAAGACACTATTCAAAAGCACTATATTCCAGAAAAGGGGTGGGGGGAGTTATTCTTTGTTTCTTTACACCCTTTGGGGGCATCTTGGTAAAATAGAGTGAGGAACAGAGCTTTGTTGTAGCCAAGAACAAGAGATACTTCTTACATAGAGATTCATGATGACTTAAATTGCTTCATCTGTATTCTTGAAATTTTATCTAGTAGAGAGGAGAAAAAGCGGTACACACATAAGATCCAAAATATATTGTGCCGTTTTCTTGGGTGACCTCAGTTTTTAAAATATTGTTGCTGATATACTATCAAGGTATTTGATAAGCCTGTAACTTTTCACTGCTGTGTAGTGATAACCTTTTTCCTTTCCTTTAGATGCTCTCCAAATCCTTGGTAATGGAATATCTGGCTCATCCTGGTGCACTCAGTGTGGCTGCAGGAGTAGCTTGTGGCATGTGCCTGGGCTGGGGCCTCCGTGTCCGCTTTGGGATGACCCCCAAAAGCTCAGGCAGCGAGACACACACAGACACCAGAACTGAAGCAAGCATCTTAGGAGAGAGCGGGGAGTACAAAATGATCCTTGTGGTGCGAAATGACTTAAAGATGGGAAAAGGGAAAGTGGCTGCCCAGTGTTCTCATGCTGCCGTTTCTGCCTACAAGCAAATCCAAAGGAAAAACCCCGAATTGCTCAGACAGTGGGAATACTGTGGCCAGCCCAAAGTGGTGGTCAAAGCCCCTGATGAAGAAACTCTGGTTGCATTACTGACCCACGCGAAGATGCTGGGACTGACTGTAAGTCTAATCCAAGATGCTGGACGTACTCAGATCGCACCAGGTTCTCAAACTGTCCTAGGAATTGGGCCAGGACCAGCAGACCTAATTGACAAAGTCACTGGTCACCTAAAACTTTACTAGGTAGAATTTTGTATCATGATTGTCTCACCACAAGTGTTTTAAACTGTCAAAAGTCTAACAATAAAAGCTGAGTTTCTTCCCCCAATTAAGTGTTCTTGAGGTGAAAATCTGTTCCCATGTTCTTCTCTCATGTACTTGGCACAGTTACACAGTTATCTTGGGCTAAAAAGAAAAAAAAAAAAAGGTGGTTAAATTGTCCTAGTGATTTGTGTCCTGAAACAAAAAATAAAAGAAACAGGTCACAACAAAATTGGATTACAACTGGGGAAACAGCATTTCCTATGCATGATTAGGTCCCTCTGCATGTTAATAACTGCTCCCCAAGACTATTGCTGTCACCGTCAGAGGATCAGGGGTTCAAGGGTAGTCCCATTGGATGCAAGTTCTTTCCTACCATAACTTTCTGGGCGATTGAGCATCTACTTTATTAATAGATGTGTGGCCACCCACAAAAGGTTTTAGACTCTCACCTGCTGGATTTTAAAAATGTATGTCTCAAAGTTGAGGTTTCAGAGCATTGATATAACCCACCTGTGCAGTGTTTCATGATCACTTCTCAGAGCCCCCGTGGCCAAGAGGTTCTCAGCAGAGGCTCTACATCACAGCCTATAACAGCTGCTTTACTTCCCTGCTTTCCTAACAAGGAAGGCAGTGAAACTTGTGAAGTGCTTGTATGGACCTTAGAGGTGATAATGGTCACATGTAGGAATTTATGGTCACTGTGAAGTGAAAGTAGCGTGTCATGTGTCATCGCATCACCGCATTGTTTACCTAGAACTTAAGGAATTAGATAATTCAATTATTTATGGGCATCTTTATTTCCCTTTTGATCTTGATACAATTAACATGACATGATACAAGTATCACTCTACCGGCTTCTCAGCTCCCAAAGCTATACAGCTTCTACCCTTTTTATGAGAACCTTTTAGGAGGATCCTGGCAGTATTTCTAAATTTAGCATATCCCTAAGAATTACGATGCCAGGGAGAATTTTGATAACAGGCACATGTTAAGTGGTTCCAACTCTCCATGTTAACTTCAAAAATTAGTGTTAATTAGCAGTTAACTTCAACATAAGCAGCATGATAGCACAACTAAAGTACAAGTTCAAAGGAGGTTGCAGGCAGCCTTAAAAGTTAGAATATTTGGTCAGTTTTATACCATTTACACTGGCATATCACAGCACAGGAGAAATTGCAACCGTGAATGATGCCACAGTAGCAACTGTTTCTAAAGAGAATGTTTATACTACTAGGTTCAAAAGTGATGCAACAAAGTGTAATTGATTTGCAGAGAATCAATCCTAAATGCATGGTTCTGGCTCAGGTAATTTCTGAGGCTTGCCTCAGACTGTTGGTTCCACGTTCAAAGAACGGCCTGCTGTGGCTGATTGAAGTAATTGTAATAAGTCATGGCATATCTCTAGGATGAATTGTATGCAAATTCTGGTGATACATTTTGTTCTCTAGTTCACCTATAGTTAGTATGAAAGGGTTCTCGAACACTTTCAGGGGGTTAAAACTATTTTTATAATATTAACACATTATTTTTCTTTTACATCGTGGGTAAAACTGCTGGCATCTTTCACAAATTAAGGCAGTGGCACCTACCTGTACAAGTAGTTGTCACTGCCCTCCCCACAATAAAAAAAAACAAAAAACTTTCACTTAATGCTCAGGATGAAGCACTAACAATATTATTAAATTTGACCCTTAACTATTTGTCTTAATATTCTGTCTAGCATTAAACACTTCTGGTGCACATCAAAATATGACAAAAATACTTGTGAGGCTGAGTGGTGAGCTGAACTAGCTGCTTTTATCATGGAAAATTTTTACTGGCAAGAACCACCGACAAACTGGTTATCCAGATCTAAATGTTTGGTAGGAATCTCATAAATAACAATTGTCAGGATGTAGGAAAACTTATATCTGCCTCTCATCCAAGCTTCCCCAAACTTAAGACTTTTCTGGTAAGAATAGAGTGTCTCAAATCTTACAATATATAATGTTTTCCACATAACCAATGCATGAGGGTACAAATCATGCATGGGTAAAAAATCCATTCAAAGTAAAGACAGACCAATGGATTTTAATCAGTATAAAAAGATCACTTTTATAATTTTAGATTCCACATTTCAACTAACCCCAAGTATCTTAAAAAGGCTATTAAAACACTTTCCTAGTTACAAATCTGTGAGACCATACTTTCTTCATGTACTTCAACAAAAACAACATACAACAGATTGAACACAGAAGCAGAAGCAGATGAGAATCCAGCAGTCTTCTGTGTTAAGGCAAACTCTGAAGAAAGTTATAAAAAATAGTACAATGCCAGCCACTCTTATCACTTGACCTTTGTTTTAGAAAGCAATTTGTAATTCTTTTTGTTAACATAGAATGAGTTTATTACTATTACATTTAAATGTATTAATTTTTAAAATTTGTTTTAACTAATACAGTAAATAGCAATAAATGGAACCCCATATAAACTTTGGGACCTTCAATGATTTAAGAGTATAAAGGATTCTAAAGAAAAAGTTTGAGAACCACTAGAGTGAGAATGTCTGCATAATTAAATCAATTTATAGCAAAGTTAAGCAACCCTACTCAGAGATCACCAGTTACCGGTAGTCTCCTGCTATTATACTGCCTATGTTGAAATAGTTGTCAACAAATATCACAGGTTCTGTACAAAGGCTGTATTTGGATATTAGGGGAGATCACTGAAAGCATGCTTACCTTATGAAAAGTTTCCCAGTAATGTCTCCCCTTCCTCTATCTTGTTTCAGTTACATCGGAAGTGCTAAGGACTCTTAATACCCTTGGTTAATTGTTTTTAATCCCTTCTCCAAGACCATCATTCAGAGTCATGTTAGGAAATGCCTTAAAATACAGTTTATTACCAATTCATTCTACTACTTATTGTACAACAGTTACTATTGTCTAATCTTGAGCTAGGCATTTTGTGACTTAAACACAGTCCTGCAAAGAATTCAGAAAATTACTCAGGGAACAAGCTCAGAAGTTCATCTTGTTCAGGATTTGAACCCAAGTCAAAGCAGTTTCTTTCTACGATAACCCATTATAGATGGCTTAAGTGGCAACTCAGTACTATAGGACTTCTTTTGTTCTTTAAAAAAAAGTTTAAAGTATGGTATAAGGAAACCTTAACTGAAGTATTTTAATTTGTTTCTATTAGAGAAGGGAAGGAAAAGAGAGAACAGAGGTCTAGAACACATGTTGAGGCTCACTAGGACATGACTATTCTCCCTCTTAATTTTCATAATGATGAAAAAAGGGAGCAGAGATCCAGCAGAAACAAAAGTTCAGCCAGATCTTAAACAGCAAGATGTCTTCACTAGGACAAACAACAAAAGGGTGATTTTTCCACCTAATACTGTAATTTCCTATAGGAAAATAGGATGGGAATTAAAGATAGGGAATGAAAAGAGGTTCTAAGTTAAAAAGAAAAAAAAAAAGACCCTTCAGTGGCAATACAGGGCTAGGCAGGAGTTTTTCTAACTCTACTGATAATAGTGAAATGAACTTAAAGTGACATTCTTTGCCATCAGCCAAGAGTTGGATTCAAAAACTGGTTTTAAAAAATCACCTTACACTACCCATAATTTGGGGACCCTTAAATTTCATGGTGAGAAATAGCATGAACTTCATGATTCTATATATTTATATCAAGTTAATATAATTTCACATCCATGACCTTATTCACTGAAGTTGCTTAGATAAAACTTAAAAGTGCCAGTTAGTTAATATGATGGAGATAGCTAAAATGTAGCCCACTATAGTGTGCCTTAAGGTATAATGTGATATGTGTTTTCACATGTCCCGATCCTCATTCCATTTCTGCTCTCATACCTCCCTACCCTTGGAATCCAATATAGAACTACCAACACCATGGTTCCTTTGGTTTAAGTTTGAGAGGTATTTAATTAAAACTGCCATTCTACATGTTATTTCCACAGTCCAGTAATTTATTTTAAATTTGAGTATTTTCAAATTCCACAAACAAAATTGAAGAACAGCAATATTTTGTTTGAATTCTCTCTTCTGTACACTCAGTGATCTAAAACACCACAATATCCAACATACACAAACCTCAGGGAAGGGTTAGTAAATACACACAGATTGGAATCATGGTGCTCTTTGTTCTTGAATGGAATGGTCCCACAGAAAAAGCACAGGATACAGCACAACATAAGGGCACCTGTTACATATGGAGTGAGCAAAAACACACTAGCATTTTCTATAGGCGTAATCAGGAAACCTGCATAGGTTAGAGGGCCTCTTATGCTCATTGAAAAGTCAGGCAGGTTGTCTGTAATGCATTTTCCCAATCCTTTGGAGAGCACTGCAGTCCAGTGTAGGCTGTGCTGATAATGATTAGTGTTGTCTTGGTTGCATTGACAGTCTTGCATGGTCACATACCAATATTTTTGCTTTAGCTTTTCTTTGAATAAAAGAGATTTAAATGCATTTAGACAATACATATTGTAAGCTGTTTACATACACTAAATTTAAGAGCTTCGATATTAGAGTTTTTCTTTAAACACTACAGAGTGCAAATCAGGTTCTTCACAACAGATTGAGTATTAGGCAGTTCTTCAAAGAACAAAAGGGAAGGAAAAAAGCCCAGATGAATAAAACATCGAAACTATTCCCCTTTGAAAATAAATTCTAAAATGATGCGGAATGTGAAATAAGCTTTTAACATAGGTGATCCAAGTTTATAGTTAGAAATAAAACACAGTCCTTCATGAAATAAAGGTTACAAGAACATGTGCCTGTTTTCCTCTGTTATAAACTGAGAAGTGGGTAGAGACGATGTTTCAGTACGAAAATAGGCGACTACAGGATCAGCTTTCCGTTTCACATGCTGTACCCAAAGCCAGGCTGTGGCTGCCCATAGGGTGGTGCAGTATAACCATAGCCAAAAGGTGCCTGGGGAGGGACTGCAACACTGGGTCCTGCTGTCAGCATCAACTGGGGCTGACCTAAAGATGGGAAACAAAAAGGAGCAGGGGCGGGCAAGGAGGCAGTAGAAACTGTTAGTAATGTAGGACTATCACACTCCAATCTCCCCTCCTCTAGCAGCATAATCACAACTTTGAGTTTTGGGGAGCACTACTGACTGCCACAACTCTGGCATGATAGTCACCCTTAGAAAGGTCCTGTCCATAAAGCCAAGAAGCAGTGCAGAGCTAAGGGTCAGAACTGGGACAGGAATTATGTTACTTCATATCACCTAAAGCAATATGCACATGCATGCTTGACATTAGGCAAGGCATCTACTTAATAAGCCTTTGTACAACATGGTGTTTGCACATTATATTTGATGACAATATAATTAGCACAGGAAAACAATTGTTTAATAGACACGGTTTTAACATAACTGAAATTTTAAAGTTATATTTAAATTTCTGATTTAAACACATCTACGTGATAATGAAACCTAATGCATTTTGAGCAAAGAATCTAGTACTAATTTAGAGAAAGCAATTAAAAATAGCAAGGCATATTCAAATATATATTAGGTATGAAATACATTAGTGCAGACCACCTCTTTTATATATTCTGTTGTCCCTTTTAGGAAGTTTATAAATAGTTGTTGACCACATACAGAAAACGACCCATAGAGAAGCTGGCTTATTTAGAGGGAAAAGACATGTAACATGTCCTCCCAACTGCTACGAAAGGGCTTGATCTCCCACTAGACTGTAATCCTAGAGCAAGATTTCTCCCAGCACAAGCGACCTCGCGTCTCCCCTTTTTGTGAATAACCAACAAAACTGTCTTTAGTGAGCAAATTCTTTTTGGAAACTAGCAGTTTCTAAAAATCACTTCTAATCTTGATATTGACATTTGTCTTGAAATTTCAATCCCACTGTCACTGCTTATAAGGCCTATCCATTTAAACACCCTAAAGGCAAACCAAATTGAGTAAGTGCTCCCGAATTATTACACTCATTCTGTTTTGGTTCCTACTGTGTTTCCTATCTCAAGTATGTGAAACAGCTTGCTCCCATCTCTAACCATTTATTTAGAATTTATCTTTTTCAACTTTGTCAAAATTACCCTGATCCTCTAAATCCCCAAAGTCCTTTATATTTCTAATATAAAGGAGGTAATATCATAATAGATTTGAATATTATCATTTCCTTTAGGAGGATGAGATACAATGGTTATAATTTTTTTTTGTCTAAAGGGCACTGTAACCTACTCTTCAAATTCATTGTTCAAATGAATCTGTTCACCAAGAGTGAAATGGAAAAGGCAGTTCAGATGTAAACATGTAAGAAGAAACTAAATTGCCTTAAACATTAATTGAGAGTTTGAAGATCCTATCTCTCTAGAAAGTTTTCAAATGGAATCTCTATTTAGGTTCTCTGCCCCAGTTAGAATTTAAATAGAGGATGTATTCTTTATATAAAGCAGGGGTAGGGAATGTCTGGCTCCTGGGCCATATAGGCCCTTGAAATAATTTAATCTGGCCCTATCAAAGCAATTACAGGCAAGACTAGAAATTTAATAAACCTAGGAGCTTTTTTTTTTTTAATAGCAAAATGAATTTATATTAAGTGAATTATATTAAACAAATAATGTTATAAATACCCAAAAGGCCCCTGGCAGAAAAATGATTTCCCATCCCTGATTCTAAAACATTCTAAAGACAGTCTTGGCACTTCTGAAAATTGAATTCACCAATAATTATTCTTCAGTAATTTATGAATAAGCAGTCAACCAGTGACCAGGCAATAGAGAAAATGAGATTATGATCTTAAGATTTTTGAGACAGTCTTTGCATTTAAGATTACCTAAGGGGTTAAAATGCCTGCTTTGAGACTGTTTTGGGGGTGGGGTGGAATAACAGTAAAGAGAATTATTTCTTTACTCAGTGAGCCTTTGGCATTTTAGAAGCTTATTATATTTCTATTTTGAGGTAGAATCCCTAAAGAATGAAACATTTATATCTACTCTTATTTCTGTAAAGTTAAAAAGAGATAGAGATTACCATAAACAATAGGTTGCGTCTCTGTAGCTTGTTCTTCTTCTTTTCTCAGTGATTCTGAAGCATCTAATTTATCCACCTGGAGAAAAACAGGTAATGTTAATTAGCACCTCAAAAGTATTATAAACCTAGGTTTATGGCAGAAAGTGGAAAAGCCTTAGTTTTATTAAATTTTTTTCAAAATAAAAAGACTAGAAAGAACATTCTCAGGCCCCCTCAAATTCAATGGCAATGTTCATACTTCAATCAAGGTGATTTTCAGCACTGTCATTATAAACCCTCCGGAAGGAGGGATTTATAAATGCCATTAAAGCGCACGCCAGGCTAAAACTGGGCATGCTAGGTTGCAGCCAGCCTGAGGGAGGGAGATATGAGAAGGAACCACTTTTACAAATGAAGATTAAAGCCTACCAAAGATAATAATGAACTCATGACTTGGTAAGACTTCCTCCCCAAAGGAAATGGTTCTCAAAAAAGTAAAATGAGTCTGATGACTGGACAAATACTTATGCAGCTTAAGCTACCTTTTGCCCAGTGCGCACAGTTTCTGCTAATACTGGTTATAGGTACAAACTAAAGTTTAAGACTCAAGTGGCTCCATATTTTATTATTTTAATATAAAGACAGGCTGCATGTTTTTATGCTCTATTTTCTAAGAAATAGCCCTTAAGAGTTTTTTGCTTTTAATTAAGCAACAGTAAATGGCTATTATATGCTAGCTACTCTAAATAAATGTAGATACTATCTGACAGAAATAAGACTGAAGAGGAGTCCATATGTATTAATGAAAGGAGGTAAAATACATAGGTCCTTCCACTAACTAGTTGTGTGACCTTGGCAAACCACTGCACTGACCCTCAAAAAATGTCCTTGTCTATCTGAGACCGTTGAACGACATAATCTGAAAGTGCCTTCTAGGACTAACATGATTTGATTCCGTAATTCTGTGAAGAATTAGGAGAAGTCATCAGGACACTAGGATTAGGGAATCTTCACTGCACAACTTTCACTTGTCTTTTGAACTATATACTATATTTGTCTTTTAAACTATATTTAAAGTCAGTATCTCAACCAAAGCATAACTACACTTCAAATCTCAAAGTTATTGCTACTAGTGGTTTTCAAAGTCATAAATGTGCAGTGAGATGGGGCAGAGTTCAGGAAGAAACTTTTTATTAAATGTTCCTCAAAAAGGAAAGTAGTGGAAAAAAAGTCACTCACAAAAAAAAAGACATGCAAACATCAGTGAAAAAGCTATCAAGACTGCTAAAAAGGTTAGAGCAGCCCCTGATTTCTTTTTGAAATTATTTAAAATGGTGTCTTGGAGTCTTCAGATAGGCCACTTCAAATAAGATTAGGATAGTACTTCATATATGTACTAATTTTTTAACATTAAATACCATAAATATGGGTCTAATCCATCCTATTATTTCAAGGAACAAAATATGAGAAAAGTAAGCTGAGGCAGACTCTAGACACCTTTAGATAAAATATGGTTTCCCCACCCTAGGAAGTTGGGTTAATTTGCTTTTGCATACATTTTCTTATTTTATACCCTAAGTGTTTATCTGTTATAAATTACCCAATGTCAAATTAAAGACCACTATCGAGTATAAGTACCATGAAAAATACTCATAGTTTGGTATTCAAACTTACAACAAAAATTATTACAGCTGTATACTTTAAAGTATGGTATGTGCCACCAAGGGTCAGGTGGGGTTCTGCTAACCTAAACAGTATCCAAGCTAAAGAGTTTGTGCAAAAAAATACATGGATGAGTGTACATTAATAACTTCTAAAAAGAAGAAAAATTAAACAACAAAAAACCCACCACTGCATAATACATTTCCAGACTTTCAAGGAAAAGAATCTAAAGTGAACACATGTTTAAAGTTGATGTGAGTCGGATGTTGGAAACAGAGACCTATTCCACAAGTACATGTAAGACTTAGAAGAACTAGCAATATCACAATGCCCAGGCACAGACACAGGCAGGCTGGGCACAGGGGGAAAAACAAAAAAAAAATAAGAACTTTGAAGGAATAGCACCAAGCTAAGCAAAAAATTTTTGATTTTTCTATATAATAGGACAGCCTCTGGCACAGCAACATCCAATTTTTTATTCCATAGACCCAATTTAGATTGCTCAAAAAAGAAAAAGCAGAGAAGGCTGTTATGAACACAAGCTTTTGTTAAGAGCTGTAACAAAAGTTTCTGATCCTTGGATTTAAAAAGAAAAATTTCAGGTAAGCATGTTACTGAGTTCCATCTGTACTATTGAAAATTCACTGTAATGTAAAAGGCTTTTCCACAGAGACTGCAATATGCTGCAGAGAAAAGTTAACATGCAGTCAGTTATTTTGGTGTATGTGTGCATGAAAAAAAGGCAAAAGTACTGAAGCAAGAAGTGAGATCTGAAGATGACTGTTGCTATACAGGCTCTCAAGAAACACACACAGCCCACAGCAATGCTTTAAGAGTTTCAAAAGTAGTATGATGTAATTGCAATGACTGTTGAACATGCTTGATTTAAAACAATGCATAACACTGCAGTTCAATTACCTGTTTTTCACACACACGCTTTCTAACTGCCTTGCTTACTAGCTGCTGAAGGGCCTCACACAATGCATTTTACTCAGGTTTGCCACTAAGTTCCAATGGTGACTCCAGTTTGGTTCAACATAATTCCAAGGCATTGTCCCCACCCAAATTCGTTCAAATTTGTTTCAACTCTCTTTTATTTTCCCACCCTTTTCTTAACCACAATTTGATATCAGACGTAAGTTTGAAAATTGGTTTCACTTATACTGGGATGGTGACAAGCCAATTAAGGAAGCAGCAACCAAAAGGTGCCTAAATTTACCATGGATAAGCCAACAGATGAATAAGAGAGCAAACTTGAGGTGGCTTCAGAGGTGTGCCTTATTACAAAACGTAGAAGTTAATACTGCTTTGTTATATATAGAAATAATCCATGTTGCTCAGCAGCAATTAGAGCAAGCTACTCTCATAATTAAAAAAGTTTTGAGTCTTCTTGAGAATGGACTAGCACCATAAGAACTGGACACCTGGAGAAACATGAGGAAAGTCTCTTCGGAAGCAGCTAGTATCTCTTGTATCTACTTTCAGCAAAAAATTAGTAAGAATCAAGAGATCAGAAACTGGATCACAGTCCTTTAATAACAAAAAAAAATCCCAAAAAGCCTTTTAGGGCATGTATATACAGATATAAATTCAGCAACTGTCAGGCAAGCTCACAAAATAAAACCAGAGGCTGTTTAAATTTATTTAGAGTATTAAGAAAATCCTATTATGGTCCAGATACCCTGACAGGGAAGAGAAATTTCCTGAAACTTTGAAATTAATATGGAAACTCACCATGCTCAGTTTTTAATAATATATTTAAGAGAGACTGTGAACCAACTACTGATTAGCCTCCTGCCCTTCCTAAAGCCTATTAGCCGATTAGTACCAAACATCTACTAACGTCCTACAACTCTATTATAGTTATGGTTCAAGGGACTTGCAGAGGCTTTAGTGAAAATTTATTGGGGGGGAAAAAGCAGCAGCAGCAGTGTAGAAAAGGAAGGAAAAAATCATGCAAATTCCTTAGACTTAGTCCTCCAGACTTAAAGATGGAAAAGAATCAACTTTCACCTTTTCCTTTATTGCATCAACCTGCAAAGGAATTCAGAAGGTGCAGCTTAGAAAAAAAATCAAATTCCATGTTGAGCATAAAAAGGTAGAATCAGCAACAAAGGTTTAGGGGAGAAACATCTAACCACTAAAAAAGGTATGAGAAAAGTGAAAATAAAGGGCATACTGTAAGCAAAATTTAGAATTTATATATATTCTTAACTTCAGAGCTTACTGCAGAAGAATTTATGCTAGAGTCAGTGTGAAAGAAAGCAGCTAGTAAATTTATAGCACTTTGGTTAACAGCAGCTTAGAGCCAGGTCTCACAAGTTGGCATTATGCATAAGAAAAGAATTCTCATCTATGGCTAAGATACTCTGGACTTATACACAGAAAGTATTAATTTTAAAAATATTATTACTGAACACAATGATAACTACTACTTAGATGGTAGCCTAAAAAAATACTCAGTATACTGGGATCTGTTAGTAGTGCTATTTCCCCCCCCTTGAAAAGGCATGCTGAACAGATCAGATGTGAAATGAATTTTAATAAGTATGTTTTCTCTAATGAAATGGATCCTTTAGGATCATTTTTAAATGTTCGACAACAAAAAATCTAGTAACTGTTAAAGACAGGGTGAATAAAAATATCTAACATCAAAACGGGACACTAAGACAAATAAGTGACTTTTATAAGATTATATATCTCCAGCTTGTTTAATGTAGTTTTAGAAAACATGTCATTACTTGTTAATCTCTTATTTTAAAATTAGTGGTTAAACTATCAAAATATTGAGAAGATTAACAAGAATATAGGTGTAGCCGAGACCGGTTTGGCTCAATGGATAGAGCATCGGCTTGGGGACTGAAAGGTCCCGGGTTCGATTCCGGTCAAGGGCATGTACCTTGGTTGCGGGCATATCCCTAGTAGGTGGTGTGCAAGAGGCAGCTGATCGATGACTCTCTCTTATCGATGTTTCTAACTCTCTATCTCTCTTCATTCCTCTCTGTACAAAATCAATAAAATATATTAAAAAAAAAAAAAAAAAAAGAATATAGGTGTAGCTTTCCCAGGGGAACTAGGCATACATATTAAAGTCAAGAATCAACCAAATAAAGGGAATCTATACTACTATTTCTAGATATATGAATTGTAAGAACTGATCTAAGGAAGATAGTTTGAAAAAAATTTTTAATCAAATATTTAAAAAAACAAAACAAAAACCTAACATGCAATGTAGAAGTAATACTATTCATCCTCAGAAATACATTGAGGATAAACATTCTGGCAAGTTATGATTTGAGTTTCCTTTTCCATGCAATGTCATTGGTCAAAAATTAAAAATTTATGGAAAACAGGAATATTTTTGAATAAACTAAATAACTTACTTTTACTAGAGAAAAAACATTGGAAAAAAAGAAGTCTGCACATGGAGTTTTACATATTCAAGATAATTAGTTCTGAATATACCCAGAGATGCCATTACCTTTGTCAAATATTCCTTCATGACCTGGATGAAATAGGGCATGGCAAAATCCATGATATTGTGCCTCCAGGCAGTTTCCAGGACAACATCTGGCCTTAAAAGATCATAACAGGTAAAGAGACAAGCTCCAAAGCACTCTCTTTTTTCTTCCTGCAAAAACCACTGTAGGAGTTCTTCAGCCAACTCAGTATCTTTAGATTCAGAGGCATACTGCATTGCATCCTATTCAAACAGATGAAAGTCAAACATTAAACTCAAATATACTGAAACTGGTAAATCAAGCAATACAGTGGGGTGGGGGGAAGACTACCAGTTATATAATTTAAATTAAATATTTGTTGAAAGAAAAGGAATAGACAGATAAAGCATTCTCTTTTTTTTTTTTTTTTGAGAGGTTTGAAATAAAAATAAGATAGTCCGAGAATGAAGAAATTCACTAAACTATAATATCCTCAAATGGGGGCTTAAAGGTAATTCTCATATTCATAAGCTAATACTTTTAAAGACCACAATCACTTGTAGTACACCACGTTAGGATTAACACAGGTCATCCAGCAGTTGGTTTAATGGCCCTGTCCCCACCCACTGCATCCACCTTGTACAGGCTATCTTTCTTGCACAGCTCTACACTCTGCTTCCAGCGATTGTTGCCTTTGAAGAGATAAGCAGCAATTCTTCTGAACTCAATGAGTTCATGTTTTTCCAAACGCTGAGCAAGTGAGATATTGTCAAAGTTGTCGTAAGCGTCTATTGATGTTCGCAGAGCCTTAAAAAAAAATAAAAGAAAAGCCATTCAAATTTTAAATCAGTGACCCATTCTAATTTTAAGTTTATGTTCCATCAATCCTCATCAGAAAGCCATTATGTACATAACTGATTGTATATGACATGATCAATGTATGACATGTATGTATGATGATGACCAGTAAATCATTATTAAAATATGACAGCCTAGATTCAAGCATCAAACCACAAAGTTGTAATCTAATAAATAATCATCAAGGTTTTTCAATATAATTATGTAACAAAGACCTTGAAGATACTGAAAATTTCTAAAGGTGCAATTTTCTCCAAGGTTTTTCATATCACGGACTAACATGAATGGTTATGAAATTTGGAAAATTTATAATTTGAAGGGTAAGATTTCATGCTCTGAGAAAACTCCTGATACAACTCAACAGGACAGGCATGGGATCTGAGCCTAAAAGAAAAAAGAGCCCGCTGAATCTTAACTCTTAATTTTGTTCTCATGAAGCCCTTCACAAGGGAAAGATGATTAAACAAATTCTAATATGGTATTGGACAAGAAAAGCAGTGAATAAATATAGTTAATACCAAGTAAGTTTTAAGGATTAGTTAAGAGATCAAAAACTTTTCAACCCTATATATAATCTAGATGTTTAGGGATAAAGTAACGATAATTTTTTCTAAAGAGAGATAAGATCTAAGCAAAATTCTGCAAACTTGGCACTTCATTAGGAGGAAGTCAAATTTATCAATTTACACCTCATTAAATTTAAATCATAGGCATACAAATACCCACTGTTTAAAATTTTAAGGATAATGGCCTCTTTTTGTTTTAACTGCAAAACATACCAATTTTACAACCTAATTATAACCCAAGTTTTGAGAATATATGCAAGAATCCAAAGGTTTTACCTGATAATCTTCTTCTGTAATAAAGAGGTTGTTCAGTGATTCATTCACAGATTTATTGTTGTGGTTCTGAACTGAACGCAAATATGGTTTCACCAGGGGTAGCTGTTTAACCTTTAAAATAAAGAGTTTGTTACAAATATAGCACATGGGTAAAGTTCCATGGACAAAAGTTATTCGAGCATGTCTTAGATCCTTGTTATAATATTTTAAAGTTTTAAAAATAATTACCTTGCTGAAATAATTGACTGCACGAGTATGATCCAACCGTGGAGACAGCACCATCAGCAAATCATTTAACAACAGAGGCTTGAATTCTAAGTAGAACTGTATTGCTCTGTAGTATAATTCCACATTGGCAACCTAAAATGGGAAAAATCCATACATAAGTCAGAGTTACTTCCTAATGAGCTTACGTATTCTAAAGCCTTCGTTTTGTCTTCTGAAGAAGGTACATACCTTGGTAATGATATCTTTGAACTGCCCTTCTTTCCATGCATCAGTGGGATGATTCATCATGGTAATTATGGCATTATCATATTCTTCATACTTGTCATACAAAAACACCAATTCTGCCCAAAGATGAGCTTGTTCTGCAGCTCTTAGCACCTATGTAAGAAAGATTTAATTGCTTTAGATATGAGTCTTTGATTCTACCTAGTAGTCCAAAAGGGGGTATTTTAAAATATTAGTTTTAGCGATAAAGTTGCCCCCAAATGTTAAAGGCTGGTTACCTTAGGTATATTCACTCTGGACCAGAACAGCTCCAAGTGCTCCCTCATTTTCTGTGGCTTAAATTTAGAATATAGAATGGCTAATTCAGTGAACATCCCCATGTGAGCTCGCTCAAGTCCCAGAGCTGCTTCCAACATTGTTATCAGTTCTTCAAAATATCCACGATCCTGAATAAGGAAGATAGTAAATTAAAGAAAGGACTATGTGTGGCAAAAGCTCTCAATTAATATGAAAGACTCCTGTTCATTACCTGATAGTAGTTAATAAGTTCCTCTAATTCATCTGCATGTACTACAATATGAAGTCCACACATCTGAGCAAGACGAAATTCTTTCCCATCTACACAGGCAAAGCAGACCTACAATAAAAATGTCAAATATGTGAACTCAAATGTAAACATTGCTGGTTAATTCGATTCACAGTTTAAAAGAGCATTTCTAAAGAACACCTTAATTCTTCACTCAAACAGGTGTTGAGATTACCTCTTTCCATGTTCGAGTACTGTTTGCTTTCCTAGCTCCATCAACAGCTGCCTGATATTCACCCAGGTGAACCAGGGTAGATGCCAAGCGTCCAAAATTGGAAACATTATTGTACAACAACTTAGCAGCATCATACATTTTTTCATCATAACAACGGTCACCAACCTGGAAAAAAAAAGGACAATCCATTTTCAGCGAGCCTAAACTCAATCCTTTCTCCAAAGTTGCAACTCAATGTAACAGTGAAAAACAATATTTTTCCTGTAAGGTATTTTTCCTTGGAAATCTTCAGCTGTGAGGTGTTGATCCTACTAAGCTAATGACATTGCTCAACTACTTATTTTAACATTCTTCAAAAAAAAAAACACATGAATAAGAAACCTACTTGCTGGATGTGAGCATTATTTGGCCCATTGATGAACTCTTCTAACTCTGCAAGGCGGTTTGTTTTAGCCAGTGCGAATATCAATTCTGTCTCCACATAAGACTCACGAGCCTTCTTACGGGCCATCTGCAAGTACTTGACCAGTTCTTCCCAGTTTCCTAGGTATAGGAAAAGAAAAAAGTAATACAAGCACTGACATCTTAACGTTTATCTTTTCACCCGAGTAAATGAGAACTACTATTAATTTCCCTTTAAGGAAAACATTATAACGATAACAAATACACACAGTGTAATACACCTATAATAGCAAAACTTCTATTAAACTTCTGTATTATCACTAATGAAATGAATAGTGGACATCTCCTTTCCCTTAGAGCTGTAACGTTAGAGCTCCATCGAATTTTATGAAAATTCAAAACAGAAAATTAATCGTTCCCATGAACCTTGCAAGCTCAAAAAATGCAGCTTCTCTTTGTCTGCACTAAAATGGAGGGCTACATGTTTTCAAAAGTAACCCTGAAGTATCTAATTCCTACTTAATTCAGAGTATACAATTTATCTTAATGTTTAGCTTAATCAGAGCTTAGATACATTTTCTGAGGTCACAAATACATAATAGTTAAGAAGTCGCACCACTAGTATTGGCAGCCTGAACAACTTCCATGTAAGATGAAGGATCATCTGCTTTGATGTAAGAGTCAATGGCTTCTTTCACCATTCCTTTCTGCAACTGGGCTTTTGCAAGCTGACTCCAGACCGCAGGTTCATTGCAGCGTTCAGCAAATTCATATGCCCGATCCAAGTTTCCAATATGTTCAATTAAAACCTAAGCAACCAATTTTTGAATTAGTGTTACAGTAAAATGAATCTCAGCACACAGCAATTACACTGAAATGGTTAGGATTTTATTGCTCTCCTATGCCATAGCAATTGGTTATGCTCATCCTCAAAGGATAATACATATATTGAATCATGAGAAATCATTCCATTTAGTATATAAACTTAGGTAACCTGAAAGTTTATTTTACCTGCACTGCTGAAGTATTGACATCAAATTTCCGGAAAATGGCAAATGCTTCTTCAAAGAGCTCATTGCTGATGGCAATATTGGCAATATCTGGAGCATCATAATTATCCAGGCGGTTAATATACTCCATAACACGGGTACGATCAGCCTTGATTGCAGTGAGGATTAGGAGATTTTGCAGATTTCTTTAAGATAAAGAAAGATTTAAACACAATATTTTAATAGCTCATTAGTGCTAAGGAATAAGCACTGTGGCTATACTAGTAGAGTTTTTTGTCTCAGGAGGTAGGGAGAAAAGAGGAGGGTATTAAGAGTGAGAATTTAAACAGTATACTCAAATCTTTGTCTCTTTGTTCCTTCCCAAAACTGACAGACCATAATGAAAGACTGAATATAAATAGCCAATGGAACCCTCTCAGAGCATACCTGTGTTCACTGAATACGGAGTTATCGAGAACAATTTTCTCCAGCAGTTCAATAAGTTCATTAGGAAGGTCTGCAGTCATAAAAGCCTTGACAGTTACTGATACTTCTTCAGGGTCCTGAGTCTCAGACAAGGCTGTCTGCACAACCTACAAAGGATATACAGAAAAAAAATCCTGAGAATCAAAGTGATTTTTGAAGATACAATCTAATAAAACTAAGTTGGCTTTTCAGTAGAAAACTTGAAATAGTCAGGAAAAAAAAGTGGAGGAAAAATACTTTAAATTTACCACCCAAAAGTATTCATACACAAATTCATGTACAACTAGATCATATATACTTCCATTCTCCTGAAAAATTACCCTACTTGTATAATTTCAATCTTTTCTCTCATTAAAAACATTACTCATAATAACCACTCCCCATTATCACTTTAATGGCTACATATAATTCAGCAAAATAGATAAAGCATTATACACTCAATAATTCCTCTGTTTTTGGCTATTTGCACGGTTTCCAGATGCTGCAGTGTTTTTTTTCTGGGAAGATTTGTATTTAAAATTTTCCTTAGAAATGCTTCCTAAAAGAGGGATGAAAAAAAAAATAGCTTGCACTCTTTTTTATATTTATATTTCCACAAGGAGAATTTAGGAACTATTATAACAACCTTTAATTTTTAAGGTTTAAAATTTTCTTAAATATTATATGATTATAACCCCAGATTTCTCTTTTAGTTTTATGCTTACTAGGGAAGAGATTTAACATTTACCCCATTTAGTCTTTTGTATTTTCTCTACTATCAATTCTTATTCTTATATTGTCTTAAATCAACTTAGTCAATTCTCAGTTATTAATAACAGCAATTCTTATTTTACTAAATGTTTAGTTTTCTATTTTCCTTTTAAATACACACACACACACACACACACACACAAATATATAGTTTTAAAAATAATTAAATGTTTAAAATGTTTCTTTTTACTGCCTTCTCTCATAGTTAAATATGGTTCATGTGTATGATGTGGGGAAAAAAAGGTTTTATTCATAGTTAAAAGATTAGCCTTAATCCCATTGTCAACTTTACCTGGTCAATTAGAGGTCTCCGATAAGGATTGCTTTCCAGCAGCACACTGCCCCACAATTCTGGATCCTTCCGGCGTACCAGATAGCGGGAAAGACTTTTGAAGAGGGAATTCTCATTGCAAACCTAAATAAGATATTAAAGATTAATTTCAAGGTAAGAAGTAAAGACTTTTTATAACTGACTTTACTTTTAAAAGTTATTCCCTATCATTTGTACCCTGATTATTGTTTTCTAGGATGAAAAAATCCAGTTTTTACATATATTCTTGAAGAGGTTACAAGCAAGTATTCTACTCTACTTGTCTATTTATGCACCAGTACCACACGTTTTAATTATAGAGGCTTTAATTGTAATGTGCTTTAATATCTGGTAGACCTAGTTCACATTTATAGCTTTTTTTTCAGTGTTTTACTAGCTATTCTTGTGTTTATTTTTCCATATGTACACGCATACATATATGTTTATGTGTACATGAATGGATATATGTACATAGATGCATATATTTCCTAGCTCTGATCACTGAAAGATCATAGAAGCAAATACAAATACACCTAAAAGGCCCAGATCTGAGTATTTTAATCCTCATTCAAGGACATACTTAGAGAGAGGGAGGTGAGAGAGACTGAGGGGGTGAGGGGTAGGAGGGGAAGACTGAAAGAGGGAGAAACATAAATTGGTTGCTTTCTATATGTGCCCCGACCAGAGATCAACCACAACCCATGTATGTGCCCTGACCAGGAATCCAAGTGGCAACCTTTTGGTGCATAGGACAACACTCAAAGAACTGAGCCACACAAGCTAAGACCAATTCTGAGTTCTAGGTAGCATTCCCCACTATAAAGGATGTGAGTTCCCTTGGAAAACGGCAGATTCCAGGGTTGGGAGGGTATAAAATAAGTGTGATGTAACTTGTTGTGCTAAAAAAACAAGGATGTGCTCGGAGAATGATGAGACCATAAAACAAAGCCCCAGGAGGCAGGCTGCAGAGGTTTTTATCAGCCCAAACTGGGACATTTTGAGCATCAAAAGAACAGTGGTGGATTAAAACCTATTGAATCAAACAGGGATTCATGAGTACATGAAAATATGAATGCTGACTAATAAATGCGGAGAATGTGCTAGACTTGGAAAATTGTCCTTATGCAACCAACAAATTAAGAATGGTTTAAGCTGAGACCGGTTTGGCTCAATGGATAGAGCGTCGGTGTGGGGACTGAAAGGTCCCGGGTTCAATTCTGGTCAAGGGCATGTATCTTGGTTGCGGGCATATCCCCAGTAGGGGGTGTGCAAGAGGCGGCTGATCGATGACTCTCATCGATGTTTCTAGCTCTCTATCTCTCTCCCTTCCTCTCTGTACAAAATCAATAAAATATATTAAAAAAAAAAAAAAAAAAAGAATGGTTTAAGCTGAAACCGGTTTGGCTCAGTAGAAGAGCGTCGGTCTGCGGACTGAAAGGTCCCAGGTTCGATTCCGGTCAGGGGCATGTACGTTGGTTGTGGGCACATCCCCAGTGGGGGGTGTGCAAGAGGCAGCGGGTCGATGTTTCTCATGGACGTTTCTAGCTCTCTATTTCTCTCTCCTTTCCTCTCTGTAAAAAATCAATAAAATATATATATTTTTAAAAATGGTTTAAGAAGAATCAATAGATTCTAAATTGGCATAGAGGAGGAGCACACAACATTTGCATGGTTTTAAGTGTTTCCTTGCTGACTTAAGGTCTGCAAGAGGAAATACAGTAAAGAAATTGACAACAGTAAAAAGTGCCTCCAAGGACAAAAGAATGCCAGGTAATAGCATGTGAAAGACAAAACATCACTTAAGCAATATTCTGGATGGAAAACATACAATCTAAAGCTAATTATGAGGAGCCATCAGAGAAACTCAAAATGAATAAGATTCTCTTACACTGTGAATGTACAAATTGCCACTAAATTTTTCACTTATAAATGATTATGTAAATTTCACTGCAATAAAAAGTTACAAGTAGAAAAAAAAGACTACATTTATAATGATGTATTTTTAAAAAGGCTGAAGAATTATCTCATATTAAAAAAAAGACTAAAGATATATGACAACTATATGCACTATATAATCCTAGACTGGAAGGAAAAACTGTGGTAAGAAACATTATTTGGTCAATTGACAAAACTGGCATAAATTTTAAGAAATATTCTGTCAATCAAAGTGACTGAAGTTCGTTTCTATGTATTTATGAAAGAAAATATCCTTATTCTTAGGAAATATAATCTGCAGAGGTACAGGTCATAATGCATGCAACTTTATCATATGTTTAAAAGATGTATGCATGTACATAAACCATGAACACAACCAATGGTGCAGAGAATGCCTACAGTGGTATGGAAACCAGATGGAGAGGGAGTAATGAGGGGGAAATCTGTAACACTCTCAATAACAGATAAATTTAAAAAATTTTTACAAAGGGGCGGCGGGGGGGGGGAGATGTAAGCATTCTGTGTATGTATATGAGAATATATAAGAACACAAGCTATAAAACTAGTGCAGTTAACGTTAATAAGTGAAAAACAGATTTGATCTACCATAATGGCCACTTTAAATTCACAATCATGGGCAAACAAAAATTTTTTTAAATCACGTCTTCCAAAAATGACTCTGTCTTAACTACTTAAAACTACTCTGAAACTCAAAATTCACTAACCTGACATTATATCACACACTAGAGGCCTGGTGTACAACATTCGGCACTGAGGGGTCAGGGTGCCCCTCCGCCTGGTCTGCACTTTCTCCCAGTCTGGGACACCTCAGGGGATGTCCACCAGCGGGCACTCAGGACACCTCTCTGGCGGTCTGGGATCCCTCACTCCTTACCACCCACCTCCAGGTGGGAGAGGCTCCTGGCCACCTCCACTGCACTCACCAGCCACGAGTCTGGCTTCTGGCTGAGCAGCGCTCCCCCTGTGGGAGTGCAATGACCACCAAAGGGAAGCTACTGTGTTGAGTGTCTGCCCCCTGATGGTTAGTGAGTGCCATAGCAACCAGTCATTCAATTTGCATATTAGGGTTTTATTATATAGGATTTTTTTTTTAATGCAGCCTTCTTAATAAAACCTACATTTGTTAGAGTAAATAAATAAATAAAATGCATCCTTCCTTCTACACGTTCAGCTAGCAGTACTCACATTAATAAGTTCCAGGTCACACTGGCCACGCTCATAAGCCACACAGGCCAGATGTGGATCTCTCTTCTCACAATATTTTCCAACAACACGACTGTCATAATAAGGATTTTCACGAAGAAATCTCTCTGGGTTGTTATTACTGTCTATGTAGATTTTGGCTAACGCATTGTGAGTAGCAGGCTCCTCACAGCCCTCATGAATCCTGGCCTCTAGCCAAGGCAGAAGCAGTTTCAACCTAATAAAAACAAACACATGTACACATATTGTATTATAAATAACAAACTCTTAACATGCTAACTATTTAAATAATGTGCTTTCTCATACATTATTTTGTATTCTCAACAACCCTATTATAAATTGGGAAATAAGACTCAGAGGTGGTTAAATGATTTGTCAAAGATTACACAAAAGGTATGTAAGACTATATTCTCCCAACCAACAGGTAGGTTGGGAGAATATATGATATAGAAAAAAGAGATTATAGATTCCTAAACTGTTGTTTTTATTGATTTCAGAGAGGAAGGAAGAGGGAGAGATAGAAACATAATTGATGAGAGAGAATAATTGTTTGGATGCCTCTTACATGCCCCCCCCAACTGTAGATGGAGCCTGCAACCCAGGCACGTGCCCTTGACCAGAGTTGAATCTGGGACCCTTTAGTCCGCAGGTCGACACTCTATCTACCAAGCCAAACCGGCTAGGGCTATATTGTTCTATTTTATACTGGAGAAAATATCTAGACTTTGGCTAATTTTGTTTAGGAGTGAGCTAAGACATGGTATAAAAAAATAGGCCAGATTATCTGAGGTTTCTCTCAATTTCAACACAATTAACATATATTACCTACAGCCAAGAAGAGACAGCATCCTAAATATACACTAGGAACAAAATGTAGTATCTTTAGAAGCTCTGGCTTAATCATTCTAGCAGTTGTATGGTCACTACACTAGAGGTCATGGTTTCATTAAGCTATAGTTTGTTTCAATGGATTAAATTTCAAAAACTCCCAGAGAAAGAGCAGTAGGCCATTATTTTGGCTATCAAATTCATGTAAATACTTACATCACCATGTTCTCCTCATTTAATATTAAGATTAAAAAAAAAATTAACCTAGAGTTAATAGGGAACTCTTTTCTCATTATTCTTGAAACTAATTTATTTAAGAACTATCGTGTTTCCCCAAAAATAAGACTTCCTCCGAAAGTAAGAGCTACTTACAGGTTTCCTTCTGAGTGAAATATAAGGCACCCCCCCCCCCCCCCCCCCGGCTAAACATGAGAGATTTGGTCCACTGATTCTGAAAGAAATGGAGTCACAAGAAATTCACCAGGAAATTCAGGAATTGGATTGTTATGATGATGTTCCAGAAGATAATGACATTATTGTCATTGAATAAATGAGTAAATTCTTGATACTGTAGGATTCAGTTTGTCTGGTTTGTGTTGACAACTATCGTACTAGCGTACCGTATACAGGTAATAAATTTCCTTTATTTTCATTTAACAATAAATGTGTACCGTATTCTTCTTCATGGCAAAATAAGATATCCCCTGAAAATAAGACCTAGCACATCTTTGGGAGAAAAAATTAATTTAAGACATTGTCTTATTTTAGGGGAAACAGGGTAGTTAGCAAATTCAGTGTCATACCTAACTAAAAAGAGGCTTTTCACGTAGTTTACATTAAAAGCATATACAAAGTCAACCCTTGTAGCTCTAATTATAAATATGCAAAACAAGTGACTAATTAGGTAAAAGATTTTTTGTACGATAGCTGCAATGTTTCAGAAAAGTTTTTCTTTAAATTAACGCTGCAGTTAGCCTATCACTTCTAAATTGTTGTTTCCAGGGAATTATGGTCCATTTATTTTTTTCAACAACTGACAAGTTATATTTTTATTCATTATCAGGCTAAGAGAGACTTATTTATCCCAGTTATGAAGGTTAAACAGTACTACACCTGTTTCTTTTTTCAACCTCAGCAACAAGTTCATCAGTAGAAAATTGACCTCTTACAACAAGAATTAAGTTTTTAATGACATCTTCAGAGCAATCAACATCAAGTAATCCTCCAATAACCACAGGAAGTCGACTTGGATTCACCTAAGGGTTAAAAAAATTTGAAGAATGTCTAATATGATAAGCAAAAATGAGCTTTAAAAAATAAAAAATTTCCCCCTCTTTTAAGCTCAGTTTTAAAAGTTCAATAATAAACAGTCTAACTTGGCAACTAGACTGAGGAATTTAGCCGGAAGTCTGGCTTGGTTAATGAATTACCTCAGCATTATTCCAAAGGATAAATTAAGTCCAAAAATGCTAAAAGTCACAGAATTTTTAACACATTAAGTCCACTATAGCAAAACTGTCTTTCTGTTTTTAGAGTTAGAAGGTGCAGTTTTTTGTATCTATATTTAAGATGCTTTTAAAACTGTGCTTTGGAGTCTATGGCCTCTAAACAGACACTTCAGGTGCTACCAAGTAAGGAGGGCATTGGCCATCCAACTTTTTCAAACTACAGCCGTTCTGATCTGTTTTATATACTTGGCATGCAAGTAAAATTTTAATCAAAGAAGGATTTGGGCAGGAAAACATTCTGAGAGCCACGATAGCAGACCACAGTTTCAAAAGGGTGAAGATTTCCAGAGTGAAATATAAAATCTATAATGAGATTTAATTTTTAGGTTATCTAAGTATTACTTACCTTTTGTACATATATCTCTATATACTTTTGAAGATTATTTCTATATAAGTACAGCACCAAATCATGGACAAAGTCAAATCGATCACACACAATGATGAGTGGTAACTGATCTGTTAGCTTCGCTTCCTGGGGGGAAGGGGGGGAGAACAAAAAGAAACCTTAATTTCCTCCTTCTGTGAGATATCAAATCTAGGTAAAATATGAGGATCTCTGTTTTATACCGGTGGGAGAGGATCATATAAACCTGGCTGTTCTCCTAAAGAAATTCCCAATTGCTGAAGGAAGCGTACCATTTTCCGTAATTTTTTATTAATCAATACTTATATCCACAGCAAAATAACCAGGTCCTTCCTACACATACCCTTGACCAAAAAAAGTAACAAATTAAGATTAGTGAGCCACCACTAGCATTCGGGATATAAAATCATCACAGCAGGACTTTCATTAATGATTAATAAAATAGAATTGAGTTATTTAAGACCAATAGTCACATTGTCAAAATGTTGACATAAATGGCTTTTACTTGTTTCAAACTAATGACTTTTTTCACTCCTCCCTAATTCCATTCTATATGGCCAGCCTCTACCATTCTGTTACAGTGAAAGCCTACAAGGAGCAACATGATGGTGACAGCCATGAATTAAACACACCACATCTTGCTATAATAAGAAAAAAGTTAAGAAAAAGAAAACATGTAAAGAAAGACAACTTTAAATTGCCTACTGCTTTTATCATTACAAATACCAAGCTATAATCCTACTTTATAGATTGACATAGATGTTACAGACAGGAGATAAGACCTGTATTGGGCATTTACCTGAAACATGTCCTGTTACATTCCACAGACATAAGGTAAAGCACAAAAAACAACAGTTTCCATCAGGAATTCATTTACACACAGTGAAACATTACTCAATATATGATCTGTCTATGAAAATCTGCTAAGGAAGTAAATAGAACTAAGTAGAATAGGACTTTCCCCAATGACAGCCACTAAGAACACTATTTGCAAGGTTAGAACAAAATAATACCTAAGTCTAGAACATATCAGTCACCCAATCCTATATAATAGGAGAGGAATATGCTAATTATTCATTACGACTGAGGTGTAATGTCGGGCAGCTTAAGGACCAGATCATGGATGGGGGGAGGGGCGCAGCAGCAAATTACAAGCAGGCTGCAGAGCTACAAGGCAGGGCAGGACAGCGGGCAGAGAGCTACAGGAGGGCAGCAGCAACCTACTGGCACACAGATTTGTGTGCAGGGCTACTAGTTATAAATAATTTTAAAATTAGTCTATGAAGTGTTCACAGAACACAAAACTAAATCTGGGAGTCATGAGAAATCCCGAATAGAAGATCAAAAAGGCATGCATGGGTTTGGATTTATGATAGGCCTGTACCCCTGGGTCTTTCATAGTGCCCCATGCCAGAGCAAACTGTGGCTTTGAATCATTGCCTGGCCTCTGCCCATAGGCTGCAGGCACTGAAGTAGGTTACACAGTGCAGGGGGTGGGAATGGAGGGGAGAAAGGGAGGGGAGGAAAGGCTGTAAATCTGAAGTGGAAGTCAGCTGCAGACTTTTTACACATTAAAGGAAGTCTAAAGCAGGGGTGGGGAACGTCTGGCTCTTGGGCCATATAAGGCATGAGAAATCATTTGGTATGGCCCTTCCAAGGCAAGAGGGGTGAGTTAATGAAATGTTTAACCAAATATAGTATAGCAGGCTAATTTTAAGTCGATAATTTTATATGGCCCTTGAATGATGTTATAAATATCTAAATGGCCCTTGGCCTGAAAAAAGGTTCCTCACCCCTGGTCTAAAGCAAGTATTTAACAGCATGGAAACTATACTAAATAGCTGCCATAATCATCTCTAGAAAGAGAGTTTGATCTACTTATGTAAAGATTTCAATATGCTAAGCTTTGCCGAAACCGGTTTGGCTCAGTGGATAGAGCGTCGGCCTGGGGACTGAAAGGTCCTGGGTTCGATTCCGGTTAAGGGCATGTACCTTGGTTGTAGGCACATCCCCAGTAGGGGGTGTGCAAGAGGCAGCTGTTCAATGATTCTCTCTCATCGATGTTTCTAACTCTCTATTCCTTTCTCTCTTCCTCTCTGTAAAAAAATCAATAAAATATATTTTTAAAAAAATAAGCTAAGTTTTTCCTATTAAATAAACATCAAAAAGTTAGTGGGTCATACTAATCTTGTTTATCCTGTTTAAAATACAAATAAAATATTATGTACTTTTATCATTTAGGGAGAAAACACACTTGTAAGTAATGTAAGATTACTTAGGTATTCTATTCTCATGCGTGTTTACTTTTCTGCTGGCAAAGACAAACATACTTTATCTATGCCTCTTCCCTCCCAAACACTTAAGACTGAAAAAATGGGCAAAAATCTAGAATGGGTACTTTATTGATTGCCTAAATTTGCACATGATTTCATACATGTAAGTAATGCTATTAACATTTTAAATTATTTAAAAGTTTACCCTCTAGCTATTATGGTAAAAGATTTTAAGATAAAAATTAAAATTATATAAACATTCAGAGGTTGTCATAAACATGAAGTTACTCATTTAACTAATATTTACTGAGTACCCAGGTACCAGAACTGTACTTATACACTGGAAATATAGCAGGGAACAAAGTAAGCATTCCCTCAAAGGACTTACATTGTAGTGGGAAGAGGCAATACTGTTAAGTGTTTTTTTTTTTAAAATATATTTTATTGACTTTACCCAGAGAGGAATTGAGAGGAACAGAGAGTTAGAAACATCGATGAGAGAGAATCATCGATCAGCTGCCTCTTGCACACCCCCCACTGGGGATGTGCCCACAACCAAGGTACATGCCCTTGACCGGAATCGAACCTGGGACCTTTCGGTCCGCAGGCTGATGCTCTATCCACTGAGCCAAACCGGTCCCGGCTGTTAAGTGTTATTTTTTAAAAAGCAGAATATGGGGGAGGTAAGGTTAGGCGAGGGTCATCTGAGACATCCTTTCTCATGACATCTGATGAGAAATCTTAAAGAACGTTAGGACTTAAGGTCATGAAGGTCAGAAAAGCGGAAAGGAGTACAAGCAAAGACTGTGGGCAGGAGAGGGCTTGGGGAGTGCCAGAAATAGCAAGCAAGTCAGTGTAGGTCAAGCAAAACCAGGAAAGGAAAATTGATAGAAGATTGAAAGTAGCAAGAAGCAGATCATGGATCTGGAAAACAGTTCCATGCTTTTTATGGAGATCTATAATTCCACAAAAACTTAGGGCATGAGCCAAATGATGCTAATATCATTTCTTCCTGCTAACAGGTTACTGTACATGGGAAGCCATATTCTAACAATCTTTGTATTTCTGGTGGCTAGCATATAATTGGCACTGGAATGTTCAAGATCAGATTCAGAGAAGTATTTTTCTTATTACCACAGAGTTTACATATACCACCAGTCAATTATCATATAGCTAGTACCACAAAGCTTACTAGCAGTGATGATGAGATGTAGCATTGCAGCTACCATTCTATTGGTCAATAAAAAAAGGAAATAAAATGTTTTAATATGTTCATTTTCACTACTAGGATGAAAGGCTGGATACAATAGTAGCATCTTAGTATTGAGTTCCTATCTCAGATTATTTCAAGATAAGACACCAGGTTTACCTCTAACTCAGACTGAAATTAAAATTCCTTCAAGGAGTCAGGAATAATTTAAAACCGAAAAGAAACAAAATTTGAATTATTGTTTTTCACACGTAGGCTGGCACTACCTTATTTGCAAGGGCCACCAACACAGCTTATTTACAACTGTTATAACCTGAACACTTAAGGCCTATGAAGGTAGTTGAGAAAAACTTGTGGTTGAAGAAACCAAGGCTGAGTTAATTAGCTTAAAGTAACAGGTCAACATAATAGATAGAAATGGAATTTAAACCAGGTTTGACTGGTTCAAAAGCCTGTACTATCCATATCCATGCCCCTACTCTATCAGGCTTGCACCCAATTTACAAATGTGGAATGGGAATCATCATCTAATTAGATCTCATAGACTAAGCAACTTAAAGCTGCACCATCTTAGTATCCAGGTAAGTTTTTTGAAATTTAAGAACATAATATTTTAGTCCTGCTTTACAAATATGTGTGTGTGTGTGTGTGCATATATATATATATATATATATATTTCATAAGTCAAATATTAATATTCAATGCTAAAGAAATTGAGACTGAAGCATAAAAGCTGTGAGCTTAATAAAAACAAAAAGAAATCAGTTTAAGAATCTGATAGTATTTTTAAAAAGGAAACAGTCCTGACAATCAAATGAGGAACTGAACCAGTGTTAGGGGTACACTAGCCAAGCATAAAGCATCTTATCTTATTTCTTATTTGGAGTTTTTTTTGACACCAGAATGTCTTTAGTTCAAACACATCATACTAGCCAGGGCACTCAGACTATTTATAATGGTTAAGACATTAAATTATAATGTCTATATATTTTGGGAAAAGTTTATTTGTTAATCTATAATACAGGGTTACTTCGACTATCTCATTACTGAAACCCCTAAGGTTTGGGGGTATTTAATCTACCAGCTAATACAACTGTGGTGACAATATAGGTGTAGGAAAAGCCTATTTTTTCTACTGAAATATACATTAAACATTTTGGTTTTAGTTTCAATCTAAAATTCTTCCAAAAGACAAAAAAAAAATGTTCAAGAACTTCATATTGTTCTGGAGTCATTTCATATATATAAATAAATGTTTAGGGGGATAAACTGTTCTATAGTCTTCCTGAATTTTAGAGGCAACTAACATTTTAAAGTTTTATTTTCCTGTAAAAGTAACAAGTAGGAATGAGAATAAAGGTAAAGTTAAGTTGAACTTTAAACAAAATTAACTGCCCTCAGGTATATTTTAAAGAGCTAAGAATCTTTAAACCATTACTCTTCACTTCAACATAGGCAGTTCTTTCTTTTCTAGAACTAAATTCCTGTGTCACAAATCTGAGGTTTTTTGTTTACTCTTACTCTCAATTTATGAATTATTATTTAGTTTATGATTAATATTTAGTTTCCAGAGTCAGGCTAATTTGATGACAGAAATAAACCTTTTATATATGCAGTAGAGACTCATTAAAATGACACTAAAGGCAAATGATTATAATATTCAAAAGGAGACTAAATGATATTCTAAAATGACACCGAATGTCTAAAATCATTTTCATAGTGAAAGAAAGGACATCTTTAAGATAGTGCAATTTTTTTCTTCTTTTAAATAGATGGAGTAATTCTTAAGTATTACTTACCAATTTCCTTCCCTATTTCAAAGGAAACCACAAAGTATTAAATTTGGAAGAAATAATTCAGCACATGATTTCAGAATGTTAAGAATTTTACATTTAGGGGAACTTTTTTTTTTTTTTTTTTTTTTTTAAACTAACCAAACCCTTGCAGAACTGCTGATCTTCAACCCAACCAGAAACTGCATTACTCAAAATCACTTACCTTGAGAAAATTCTTGACTCGTTCAGGATCATAGCAGTTGCTTTCTCGGCAGATTCTTTCTACTTCTTTGATCTGCCCAGTCTTGCAAGCTGCCTGAATATATTTAAAGTGCACATCTGGGTCCTGACTAAAGTTAACAATGGATCCCAGAAAATAAAAGAGACCTTAAAAAAACAGATAATTGAAATTAAGTACAGGTGCACTTTTAAGAATAACAGAACTGTCTAATATTAAAGCAATTAAAAAACATGTTATTTCAATTTTATAAAAAATAAACACATACTCAACACTCCCAAATAAAAACTGGTTGCTCAAAAAACTCCATAAGAATATGAATTAATCTAGTAATTAGTTCAATAAAGGGATTTGCACCTTAATCTTGAACAAAACAAACAAACAGAAAATTGAGCTTGGCCAACGTGCTCCATGGTTTAGCATTGACCTATGAACCAGGAGGTAATGGTTCGATTTCTGGTTGGGGCATATGCCCAGGCTGTGGGCTTCCTTTCTCTCATCATTAATGTTTCTCTCTCTCCCTTTCCTTTCCTTTCTGAAATCAATAAAAATATACTTAAAACAAAACAACAATAATAGAAAATTCAACCCAATGTTTTCTAATAATAGAGAAATAGGAGGCAGCTTACTTAATACCAAACTAATTATCACATCATATTCCATATGACAAGTTTTAAACGAAGACCCTTATAGCAGGTGTTTTTCCATAGGCAGTTATTAGGAAACATACAAAAGTAGTTTGAAGAGAATTTAATGCAGTGCTGTCAATACAATAGCCACTAACCACGTGTGGCTATCAAGCACTTGAAATGTGGCTAGTGTGACTGAAGAACTAAATTTTTAATTATATTCATTTTAATTTCTTCAAATTTAAATAGCTGTATGTGGCTAGTGGTTACTGTACTGAATAAAGTAGTATAAATTTAGTGCATAGTTAACATACAGAAACAGAAAACTAGTAGAAGTCTTATTCCTTCTGTCTAGAGCAATACTACAAAAAGAGGAAGAAAAGGTAACTGGGACCAGAAGTTTATCTAATGAACCCAAGAGCCACCCAACAGTGATTACATTAGTACTCAGTACAGCAGTGGTTTTCAACTGGGGGTGATTTTCTTCCCAGGAGACATTTGGCAATGTCTGGAGACATTTTTGTGTCACAACTGGTGGCGCTGAACCACACTGGCACCTAGTGAGTAGAAGCCAGAGATGTTGCTAAGAATCCTGCATACACCCGCCCACCATAAGTTATCCAGCCCAAAAGGTCTGAGGTGCTGAAGCTACACAAACCAGCTGAATATAATGACAAGTCACAAAATATCCTTGGTTAGAAACATTTGCCATTATAAGAGTCAAACAACATAGCATGAAAATTTATTATACCTGATCACTAGTCACTAGTATTTTCGTTTTACACAATTATTAAAAAGCCACTATATATATGTACATATATATATTTGTATCTTAAAATTCTGCTTTTATTTCACCTATAAAATATGCAAGCAATCTGTTCACTGCAGATCCCTAGATCTAACATAAAAGATACTCGACAACATCTATTGCATGATAAAACTAAAAATTGTCCCATAAAATTAAGCTTGGGGAGACAAAATTTCTAATAGCCTGTGAACATAATAATACCCCTCTTGGTTATCTTAATTAAAAAACAACTCAGAAATTCCTAATTACCTTCAAAACTTTTGAAAGATTCAAACAGTTCAATCAGAGACTGAGTTGACAGTTGTTCGTGATACTTAGAAGCCACTTGAACACAGATCTGCAGATTTTGGCGAATATTGGCAGACAGCATGGCCCTGAGGCATTCTAGGGAGTCTTCTACTGATAAGGATCCAAAATAATTCACTAGCCACTAGAGGACAAAATAAATAAGCAAGTATATAAATGAAATAAAACTGAACCTAATGGTGATATGAAATTATCATCATTCAGTACCACAAACACATTTTCAGTACACTGTTTAATCATATCTTAGACCACCCATTAGGTAAGAAAATGAAATACCTCAGGGTTAAGAAGATGGGTGTGAACAACTGCACGCTTAATATCATATAAATCAGTGAAGTGTTCCAATGCACGTTGCAGCAGGCCAGCCTTTTCACACAGCTGAGCAATATGAGCCCGGTCATAATGCGTGAACATCTGATTCCCTAGGATAGCATCTGCAACCTGTAAAACCACAAACACGATAAGTTTAGTTTACCAGCCCATTTATATCTGTAATTATACATACAGATTACATATAAAGATCCAACATCTAATTCATAAAGAGGAGAAAATACAAAGGATTGTTAGGTAAATTTTCTTAAAGAATAGTCATCTCAGTTGCTTCAAATAACAATCTAAGAAGCAATGAGTAAATACTAAAACAGTGTTGAAAACACCTTAAAAGTATGAACACATATACCTGAGGTGCATGCATAAGGTTCATCTCAAGCAACCTCGTCTGTAAAGGACCTTCAGATGGGCGATTATTCTTCAGGGCATCAAGCAAGAATGCAGTACACTGCTGAATTAGATTGTATTCCATAAAGACATCCACAATCTGCAAAAAGATTTAAAGAATGTTAAGATGTTTAAAAGTGGCTTTATGATACTGTTGATGATATGTAAATGAAAGGAAACTAAACATTATCTCATTTGTTTTACATATAAAAAATTGCCAGACCAAACAAACCCCAGACTTAAAAAATGTTATTTGGACAGTTTAACTTCATAATTTAAAAACAAATTTCTGGGCTCTAGCCGGTTTGGCTCAGTGGACCCTGCAGACTGAAGGGTCCCTGGTTCAATTCTGGTCAGGGACACATGCTTGGGTTGTAGGCTCGATTCCGTGGTATTTTGTAGAAGAGCCACACTCAAGGCGCCAAAGAGCCGCAGTTTGTCGGCGACAGGGTGAGAGCATCATCCCAATATGCCAAGGTTGTGGGTCTGATCCCTGGTCAGGACACATATATGAATCAGCCAATAAATACATAGTAAGTCAAACAAATCGATGTCTCTCTGTTTCTGTCTCTCTCTCAAATCAAATTTTCAAAAAAGAAAGCTCTGGCCTGTGTGTTTAGTGGTTAGAATGTCGGTCACAGGTTTGATTCCCGGTTAAGGGCATGTACCTGCCGGGTCGAGTGTGGGAGGCAATCAGTATAGGTGTCTCTGTGACATCAATGTTTCTCTCCCCCACACTTCCATTTTCTTTGAAAAGCAATGGAAAAAATATCCTCGGGTGAGGGTAAAAAAGAACTATTTTTGTTTTGTGGAGTTACTTTTAGTTCTGGTAAAAACAACTATTATTCCCCTACATTTTTCATATATTTACCTATACATCTCTAAACAAGAAGTCCATTTTGTTTGTTTTAGAACTGTATATATAGCCCTGACCAGGTGGCTCAGTTGGTAGGAATGTTATCCCAAACACCAAAAGGTTTGATTCCCAGTCAGGGAACATGCCTGGATTGTGGGTTCAATCCCTAGTCAGGGTGCATATGGGAGGCAACCAACCAGTGTTTCTCACATTGATGTGTGTGTGTGTGTGTGTGTCTCAAATCAATGAAAGCATGTTCTCTGGTGAGGATTTATAGATGGTACCATACTATCCATTCGTCTGCAACTTGCTTTTTTCTGTCTATGTATATAAAACAAAGCTTTAATTTCTAGAAATTAAATGGTTAACCCATTCTTCTCCAAATTGTTTAAAATCAAATCCCCACATTCTCTATTTAAATCAACTTCTACCAATACATTTTCATTTCTTTACCTGTGTGATATCAGCAAGAGGTTCTTCATCCTGAACTAACATTTGAGCAAACTGCTGTCCCTGATCTGGACTGATACGCATGACATTTCTCAGCAGAAAGATCCAATCTGGAGTGTATCCAACCTACAAATAGATAAAAATTTAAACCCCACCACCAAGTTTCCTTTTTATATAATTTAAAGGCTGTTTTTCTGCAACAGAATCTTACTAATATAGAACTAATATAGAACTACTGATAGAAGTACATTTTCAGTTTTAAGATGTTCAGTTTGATCTTGGTTTATATTAGGCAAATATAATAGATGATTAAATAGCTGTAAATTTTTATAATAGGCTTCTTCATTTTTGATGAATGACTATTTTAAAAAGTTTTTTTTCTAAAAGGTTAAGCATGCTCCTGATATTTTTAATTCTAGAAAACTGTATAAGAGTAACTCTCTATTTTTTAATAAGTGTAATTCTATGTGGGACTACTTTTCCCAGTAACTAAAAATGTAAGGAAATTCACTATTAAAGTTAATTAGAGTTTCTACAGGCTAATTTCTCTTTAATGTTTTAATAAATTTTTTTGTTGAGAATTTGTTTCATTGAACTCACTTTTTTAGCATACAAAACAATCTTCTGAACTTGACCAGTTTCTGCAAAGCACTGAATGACTTTATTTGGGACATTAGCCCTTAGGTACACACTAAGTGCCAATGTAGGGTCCACAGATTTCACAAGGTCACCTAGTTCTTCAGAACATTCCAGCTGTCCAGAGGAAAAATAGAGATTGGTTAGTAATTCATAAGTTTTCATAAATGAACAGCTGACACTACTTCCACTATAAATAATATGATAACAGTTACTCAATTGTCCTAGAATATATTATAAATATTCAGGGGTTGAGGTTAGTAAAGATTCTTGATTATGTATTCATACCAATGTCTCAGTAGAATTTTCACACATCCTAATTAAGAAAAAAAGCCCAACAAAATTTTATATAGATATTACCAAATGCCTTGTTAGAAATGTAAATACTTAAAAAGCAGAATCTTGTACTATTAAGAATATTCAGCTATCTGACCCACATGGTCCAATTTTTTTCAAAATAAAGTAACTTTAAATGTAATGTTATCAAATGAAAAGTTGATACTAAGTTATTATTAAAATTAGGGTATAATTTTTAAAATTAGGGTATAATTTTTAGTCTGAAGAACCTAAGCTCCATTATCTTCTTGACTTTTGGATTTAAGGTTATAAAGCAGGACACTCTAACTTCACAAGGTCAAACAGATAAAAAAGACTGAATTTTTAGGTGGTAAATAGGTAGATTCCCTTCTCTATACATTCAACCTGCCTTAGTCAGCAGCCCAGTCTAGAAAGAAGTTTCCCTAAAAGAGTTTTGCTTTACATATTAAGAGTTGACTTTCTACTTTAAATGGCTATGTGGCTATGTCAGAGAATTGCCTTTATCACTGATCTTCAGTCTGGAGAAGAAGTTGTATTGAAGTATATCTCTTAACATGCTAATTAATGAAGAGTTGACCACTATCCCTTTTACTACAAATAGATCCCATATGACGATTCACAAAAAAAGGTAATAATATTCAGAAAGCTTTCACACTGTTATATAGATCAACTCAGTTACCTTGGCTATCACCATCATCCCTTATCTTAAACAATTAAGATGGACCTCAAATACTCGCTATTGTGGCTATTAACTATTCCTCAGCAGAGGCTCTTATCCAAGCATCCCAACTCTGATGTACTATTCTCCAGTATAAGACTGCCTAATTAAGAAACAAGGACTTAGAATTAGGCATGTAAAAATACTCCCAACATACACTAACACTGAAAAGTATAACATTAAGTTATTCACTACTCAGAGTGCTTTAAATAGTACCACCTTATTCTTGACATAGCTTAAGAAATGGCAAGTCAATATTGCCACTTTATCGAGAAAGGCTTTTTTATGTTGGTATGAAAGGAATAAAAACACTGATGGATTATTCAAACTTGTTAATTGCCTTGCAAATAAGCAACATTTTCCATAATGTGCTCTAGAAAACAAAATGCAATTAGATGTTCTATGTGAAAAGAAATCAGTTAAGTATGAATGAATATAAAAAGCACAGAGAAATCCTGCAGTAAAGAAAGCTGGTTAACATTTTTTAAAGGTTCATATTTAAATAAATTTCAAGAAACTGAGTTAAATATTTTCCCATGTAATGCTAATTTACATACTGTGAAATCTCTCTGGGAATTTTTTTCACTGCTAATTAGCCCTGCTGTCTTATTAACATATCTATGGTCCAACATTTTATATAACATATTTCTCACACCCAAACATAGTTACTAGTAGCAAATACCACCATTGTGATGATACTTGGGAATTTCTCAAAGAAAATATATATTTGTATGATTGAAAATACTGTGCATATTAAATGTGGGATATGAGAGGAATATATTCTTATATACAAATGAATGTTATATATGTTGACAAATATGAACACATACTGAAGTGTCTCACACTAAGCTTTTCCTGAAGCAAAAAGCAATTTGCTTCCAGGTTAGTGGTTCTAACTACCCAGCACAAATTCTAGATTCCATTTAAAATACTAAACAAAGATATCCTATCTCTATATATTTTAAAAGTAAGTTTATCCATCTCATACAATGTCTGCTCTTATTCTATTCCTACAAACATTAACAATACATACAGATATTTTGGGGCAGCCTACATGTTTATAACTTGCTAATTTGGTATTTAAGACAATCAAAGCAAAAGTATGTTAATTGAAGTTAATATACCTTATCTTCTTTTAACCATTTCTCCAAAAGCTGTTTCCGTCCTTGCTGAAGTACAGGCCTACACAATTCTAAGGATTCATATTTGTTTAGCTGGCCTTGGTCCAAAAGTATGCCAAAATATTGAAGTAGAGGAGAAGTTTGTCCTGGCTGGGCTGGGACACTCTGGAATCGACGGATGGTGTCTGGGGTTCGGAGGATTCCCTTTAAGAAACAGAAATGGTAAAGACTCCGTTTAAAGGAGATCCAACATCATACTAATAACTCCATGGGTCTCTTAAGTCAATCATTAAAGGATGATTCCATCTACTAAGACCAAATTTAAAAATCTTCAATAAGTTAAATAAAATAAAATCTTCAATATGTTGAGTAATGATGCAGTCAACATCTGTTCATACCCTTGGCCAGGTGTGATAAGGTTATTCAGAATCAGAAACATATCAACCTAATTACAATGCCAATGTGTAACAGAATAAGTATAAAGTAGTTACAGTTAGCTATTATTCCAGGTTCGTGTTAAGTGCAAATTTCCTAATAAGATCAGGATATAAGATGTTAATTCATTCAACATAATTCAGAGGTGATGAGAAGAAACTCAGTTCAATTTCAGACAACTCTTTTTACCATAAATGTAATAGGATCTGTTAAAATCCTTAAACTTTGGGAAATAAATTCAGTACTACCAAACCGTGTGCCCTGTGGTCCCACCTCTTGTTTCAACAGTGTTTGAACAGACCCATGGACATCCCTTCTTCCAGCCCCAACCACACTCTAACCTCTTTTCCAGCTGCAACCTTTGGAACCATCTTCTCAGCCATCCTCTGCCTCCAGGACCAGCTAACACCTTTTTTTTTTTTTTTTTTTTTTTTTTTTTTTTTTTTAGCTTAGCTCCTTATTGTTGATAAACCATGACTCCAAGATTTGTCAAAATTGTTCCACAGAGATGGAAGCCACTGTCAACCACCTGATTAACCTTCATCTGTGAGCCTCCCACACCTACCTCTCTTCTGGGCTTCTATTTCAAATGTGAAGATGTGGCTCTGGAACGCATGGGCCACTTTTTCCATGAGTTGGCTGAGAAGTGGAGGGCACCAAGTGTCTCTTGAAGATGCAAAGCCAGCACAGTGCCCATGCCTTCTTCCAGGACAGTAAGAGATGTCACAGGTTGACTGTGGTAAAACCACAATCTTCGAGAAGAACCTGAACCAGGCCCTATTGGATCTGCGTGCTCTGGATTCGGCCCACACAGACACCCATATCTTGGTGACTTCTTATAGAGCCACTTCCTAGATGAGGAGGTGAAATCCCATCAAGATGGATGACCACCTAACTATAATAACCTCTGAAAGCTGGCTGGCCCCTAAACTGAGCTAAGTTCACCTTCTAAGCATGACTAGGAGCCTCTGCAGCCCAGTGGCCTCTGAGGGACCCACTGGCATCCCCGTGGTGTCAGGGCTTCAGCCTGAGCCTCTTCCTGAAGCTCTAGGCAGCTTTTTAATCATTCTGAATGCCCTCTCCCAAGCTGTGGACCAAATGGAAACAAAGCTTTACACAGGGGGGAAAATTGGTAACTATCACTGACAAGGTCAAACATTATTACAACTAAGTAACTAAACATCATTACATCTATATAAACCATAGCTTGTTAGATCTATTTATCTTTCTAACATTCTTAGTTTTAAAAAGCTAACCCAAACTAAAGGACAGAAGAATAATTAAGCAAATCTAAAGGCACCAATAAGAAACTCAATCTACCACAGAAAGAATGCAACCTAAAGAAGACTAGTTTCTCCATGGAGAGTTGGCTCCATTTCTAACAGTAGAAATAAAGCATATAAACATTAATCCAATCACAGCAAATTCATTTTCATGGCTATTTACCTTGGGTGCATTAGCAGCCACCTTTGCTGCCTCTGAGTAATTTCCCTGGGCAAAAAGAGCATTAAATTTCCGGGCAAAGAGTTCTTCAGCACCAGCTAAGTTGTTACGTACAGCCATTCTCAGAGCCAAATCAGGATTTTGTAGGACATTGGTGATATAAGGAATTATGTTTTCTTCTTCCACACATACTGATAGAACCTGCAATTTAAAGATCAATGAATAGTTGCAATGTATTAATTTGGATATCAATGATACTAAATCTGCTTAGAGCTGATTACTACTGAGTCACAAAGATATTAAAATTGTGACAGTTGCTTTTTTTTGTCATAAAAATATAAAAATTTTTAAAAAGAAGCAATAAATGAGAAAATTGAGGTGCTAACCCCCATTTGGAGTGCCTAAAATATGGCCATTCTGTAATATAAATAGCTCCCTATTTCATACTGTCTGAACTCTAATTGCTTTGCTAACATCCATTTAAATGAGCTCTGTAGGACAATTCATTATGATTGGTAAATTCGTAAGGAAAGCAATCTTGAAAACCTACAGAACATGACTGAAGAAGTTAAAAAAATCTAAGGCTTGCCTGGAAGAAGTTTAAGGTTTATTCTTTTAACTCTAGGATTTTTAAAATAAGGATTTTTCAGTAATTTTCTTTAATTACATTTACACCCCCACAGGCCAGATTATATATTCAGTGAGTGGAAAGAATCGCTGAATACTATTGTATAATGCAAGGTATACAACAAGTGCTTAATAAAGGTAATAATGTCACGTTGATGGCTTTTGATTTTCAACCAATAAAAATCACACTCTCATTCTTTTAGGGCAGTGATTTTGTGCCACAAGAATTTTTAAAATATGCAATGCCTGACTAACCTTTTTCCCTTAGATTGTCAAATTTAAAAAAAGACAATAGCCAACACAACACTAGCTATCTGGTGTGGATGAATCAAAATTATACTTTTTTGTTATTGTTAGATTGGCACAGAAAATTGTAGGGGAAGTGGAGGAAAAACAATTAAGTTCCCAGAATCAAAGTTATAAATATCAAATATATTAGTAAAATTATCCAAGATACTTTAGTTTAAGCATTATCCTAAAAACATCAGCACAGCAGTGGAAAGAAAAAGATCTCTGGCTTATCAACTTCATAATTAGTAAATTGTCATTAACCTAGTTCACCAAAAGGCAATTCATTCTTGATATTTTCCAGGAGAGACACATGCAACTGAATAAATGAAAGCTACTGAATTTTTAAAGTCACCTTTGTGCCAGACTAGGACTGATATAGAAATACGATTAAACAAAGAAAAGCCCCTTTCCTAATGAAGAACAGAGGCTAACACAGTTAAGCAAGCAATTGTAATTCATTGTGATAAGTGCTACGAAGAGGGCTATGTAAGTTATAGGGACATAAAGCAGTTGTAGAGTTGAGGCAGGGGATGGACAAGTAGGGACAGAGTATTTGCCTCTTCATATACACCCCATTTCTTGGAAATTATCAGAACAAAGGAGAAAAAAAATCTAATTAACTTCCTCTGCTTACTACCTGGGAAAAATATTAATTTGGAGGAAAACTAAGTAAAAACCAATAATAGCATTGTTTTTGAAGTTCTAATAATTTTTTAGAAAATAAGATACTCCTGGGGTAGAATATTTAATTACATTGAAATACTAAAAATAACAGAAAAGGGATCACTTGTTAACGGTATGAAAAGGTTTGCCAATCATGATAGACTCAGATCAGCTAATATTTTCCCCATCTAACTGGATAGCTTGCCAGGTACCCCACAATAGCTACTGTAACATATCACCTGCCCACATTAAATATTTAGTAACAGTTAGGAATAGTGATGTAGGAAAAGTTCTTTTCCTTGTAGTTAATGATTTATCTTAGAAGTCACAGAAAGAAACTCCTATGAAAAGTATATAGTCTGTCAAATGTGGCCCTCATAGTTTCTTTGAAAAAGAATCACTTCTTTGACAATAAAGACACAATCCTAGGTGGCTATATGCCAGTTTCTCTCTTTGAGACAGGATTAAAGAGAGAGACTTTGTATTCTATGTTTTGTGTTTTTAGGTATATATTATTTTCAGACATCTAAAGTTACCATTTACTTTTTAAAAATGTTAATGGCAATAAGTATTATTTTGTAGTTTAATTTAAGTATCAAGGTTTCCTTACTTGTCCCTTTCTGTTTACTCCAATTATCCCAGCTGTGGCTTCATGAGGTGCAGTAACAAAGATTGTTTCTCCACTGATTCTATTCATGTAGATGCAGGTACCAGTCTCAAGGTCATACAGGTGGATATAACCATACTTAGTAATCAAGAATACTACATCATGCTTTTCACTGATCTGTATAAAGAAAATCAACACTTAAGTAAAATAATGAATACACAAACAGAAAATTTAGACCAATTCCATTTTAGAGATGGTGAAATTCTAGAACTTGGGCAAGAGAGTTACATTACAAATTAGAAGCTAATATTAATGGTTTCCTCATTCTTACAGAACATTTAAATATGGCACAAATAAGGGTCTTATGTAAAACATAAGAATATGAATAAAATGTATAAGATAAAAAAAGAAAACAATTTTGAATAATTTAGGATAACCCAGTTTACATATTAGAGTATTACTTTATCAAGTTTCTCTAATAAACTTTATTTCAAAACAAGTTATTCTTTTAAGCGCCACTTAAATCATATTGACTGAATAATAATAGTTTTTGAATTAATTTTGTTAAGAGGAGAGATTTCAAAAGTCCCTTTGCTGTGTTTAAAATACCTGCATTGCAACAGGAAAGTCATTTTGTGCTTCCGGAGGAAAGAAAACATCCACAGCCTTCTTTGGAAAGGGCTGATTCCCTGTAGGTGGGGTGCCAACTTCAATGATATGTAACTGTTCAAAAGAAAATAAAATGTATAGAAACTTAGATCTTTTAGTAGTTATCATAGTAGTTTTATTTGTTAACCAAACTGGAAACAATCAAAATGTCCTCCAATAGGTTTAATATTCACCATTAATATTTCCATGGTAGGTTAATAGTAATAAAAATAACTCTCATGGACATTATGCTTCATGGGATGGAAAGTCAATCTCAAAAGGTCACATACTATATCATTCTATTTATACAGCATCTTAAGTGACAAAATTATAGAAAGTAATTTAGTGGTTGTCAAGGGTTAGAGATGGTAAGGGAGTGGGAGTACCTATAAAGAAGTAGCATGAGGTAACAGAATAGGATGTATCTTGTGACACGGAATTACACAATAATACTAATGTTAATTTATTGTTTCCTTATATACCATATATATAGCTTGTAAGACATAACCATTGAGGGAAACTAAGTAAAGAACACTGTACTGTCTTTAGTTTCCTATGAATGTGTATTATTTCAAGGTAAAAACTCTAAAGTCAGTTGAATAGCTAAAACAATCACACCACAATCTAGCTTAAATTAATTGCATAAAATAGTAATATATAACCCACAAAAGGTGCTTTCTCATGGTTTTCTATTATAACTTGGCACTGGGGTCCCCAAATAGAGAACTAACTTAAATTCTTTTTAGCCTGTACATCTACTCTAACACAGAAGGAAAGTATGTACATAAGCTGAGTGAGTGGTCACTCTAATCACACAGACCTCATAAATTAAACATTTTGGTCTAAGATGTCTGATTATCATAATTTAAGCAATCGCTACCTTAATTTTTTAAATAGTTACCATGGAAAAAATATGAAGACTGTAGGAGTCTAGTCTGGCTGTGAGGGCTGCAGTGCTGTGTCATCCAACACTGCAGTGAGAGTAGGAGCCGAGTTCTCAGGGTTCTGTGGCAGGGCTTTCGGCTGCGGCTCTGGCGACTGCCCATTTCCCCTGATTCCTCATCTTCCAAGCTTGGTCCTAAACATTCCAAGCTATTGTAAACTATCCATTATCCTTTCAGTAAATTTTCTGTGCTCGAATCAACCAGATCTGTTTCTGTTGTCTACAACTAAGAATCATAACATACAAAGTACTATAATTTGACCAGGCGATTCCAATGTAGAGCCAAGGTTAATAAGCTCTGACGTAAGGCAATGTTACTCAAATTGTAGACCACGTTCTACCTAGTCATGTAGAGTATTTAAAATGCAGAGTATGAGCTCCCTCTACTGAATCAGACTTCCTAGATATAAGTTGCTCAAATGTATACGTTAGCAACCCTAATGAATCTTATGCACAGTAGGCTGAAAACATAAAATTAAGGCCTTGTAAAAGCAATCAAAATAAAGTCTTACAGCTGATACAAAATAGCTGTTAAAGAACATTATTTATTTTAGATAAATATTAATAGAAGCAGAATTTAAAATCATCACAAATCTGAATGTTAGAAGCAAATAAGACTATTTTGAAATTAGATGACTAATTAGTAGCATAAAGACAAAGAAATTCTAAAATAATTTCCATAGCCAAAACTTACCTTCCCTCCAGCTTGACCCCGTACTGCAAAACAAAATAACGTTGATTCTTCTGCATTTCCTTCCATCTTAAATTGTGCGAAGCTAGCTGCATGTCCTTCAATGGGCTGAGACACTTTCCTATCTACGGAATACAACTGCATAGCTCCCACCACACGATTTTGCTACAACAGATAAAAAAGAATAAAGTTTGGGGACCCAATGAACCAATAACCCAGATTCATCAACTAGTGAAAATAATTAGAATTGCTTTATCACCTTTAAAAGGATTTACAATTCTTTTTTAGTCTCTCAATGTAGATTTGATACCTTTTCACTTAAAATTTAGCTCCAAAGATTATCTTATTAAAGCTTAACATGAATGTTTAAAATGTGGCCCATAGCCGAAACCGGTTTGGCTCAGCGGTAGAGCATTGGTCTGCAGACTGAAAGGTCCCGGGTTCGATTCCGGTCAAGGGCATGTACATTGATTGCGGGCACATCCCCAGTAGGGGGTGTGCAAGAGGCAGCTGATCGATGACTCTCATCGATGTTTCTAGCTCTCTATCTCTCTCCCTTTCTCTCTGTAAAAAATCAATAAAATAAATATTAAAAATAAATAAATAAAATACTGTATTGTATACTTTAAAAAATAAAAATATAAATAAAATGTGGCCCATATACAACCATCTATTTATGCTATCTTAAAAATATATATATGTGTGTATGAGTACTCATTCTGCAGTAAATGTCCATAATAAATTCCAAATCATTCATACAGAAACTCAATATATCCACTTAACCTGCAAGTAAGATGTAAAAACACATGTGAGGGGCACACTCTGAAACTTTGTCAGTATAAGGCATTAAAAGCCAGCTCTCTTTATTTCTTACAAAAGAAAAAAGATCTTCCAAATAAGTCAGATATTACATAATTGAGCATAGAAGACCTAATTTCAAAATAAACTGCATCCTGGACATATTAGTTCTCTAGACCTTTCTTTATTAAATACCAGAAAAAAATGTTACCTGTGCAGATATGCCAGTCAGAAGTAACCACTTTTGCTTTGCATCTGTACGATAATTGATAATCTGGCAACCTGCAAGGCTAGAATGGCGATCAAACATTTTCACTGGCTGAGACTCTCCTTCCATACTCCAATGGTAAACTGCATTATCCGTAACAAGAGCAACCGTATTCAAAGAGATCCATTTCCAGAAGGTGACATCATCAGTCATGGTATGGGCCTTCATTTTACTTTTCATTTCAATGTTAAATATCTGAAGAGTTTTCCCAGCTGAAACAAAAATTAAGAATTATGAATCACTAAAGAAAGCCACACTCAGGATAAATTACTGTCTATCTAGACTAGCTCTGTAACAAGATCTATAACTTCCAAACAAATGGTTCTATCAGGAGACTATTTAGTAACCAACTACAGAAGTCAAGTTGATAGAACAGTCAATAGAGCAGTAAGTATCGAAAAGATAGCTGAGACTGAGTAAACGATCTACATCTACATCTGAAGCGAAAACTATATTACCTCTATTAAAGACATTTTAAACAGATAGCATACAATTCTATAGAATTCTAAACCCCAACTAAAAATGAGTCTAAAGAATAGCTTGCTTAACAATGGTGGGAAACAAGGTTGAAATCTTATTTATAATTAAGACTGTTTACACATTAGGTTAGTTGTAGGTACACAGAACAAAGAAAATCTGATATAAACACATGGAAAAATGACTACTTTTTAAAAGGCAGTCATCCCCCATTCAACTAAATCTTGTGAAAACTGCTTTTTGAAAGAGGGTCTATTTCAACTCTGCCTTGACCACAGAACATAAGAGAAGTGCATGCTACATGTAACTGGTTTAAGATACAAGGAAAAGGTAGTACAGGTGTTAGAGGAAAGGAAAGGGAGACAAAGGACAGTTTCAAATGCTGTTAATATACTGCAGATAGGAACAAAGTTCAAGCTCCATCCAATGAAGACAGCAAACATTTAGTAAAAGAAGAATGAAATTTGAGTGTTAAGAGTTCTCTGAATCAGATGCAAAGACTGATATTTATAATTTTTGAATTCCATCACGATCCAAAAAGTGATTTGGTTTAAATTAATAGAGGTCAAAGCCCACAGATATCACTAGACTATCTAATCCAGATTAGTCCTTAGAGACTAAGGAAAACTCCATTGCTGAGCCACAGAGAATGGGGATCCTAAAGAACAAAAATTATGAGAGTATGGGGTGGAGGGGAGAGGAGATGGGACAGGACACAAAACATACGGCTTTATACCATGACCCTTCTTACCACATGTGTAAGAACTTCTTCCATAAAACATAATATATAAAACACAACCAGACTTGAACAATTGTGAAAGTTATAGTCCTGTTTATAAAAAGAAACCAAGGTTTAAAACTGCCTTCAAAAGGAAGGAAGTACAGTAAGGCCTTGATAGGTTCTGTGACTTTAAGGAAAACAGCGAATAAGGAAACCAATTTTACCACAGGGTAACTGATTTAAGTTAAATTTCTATGGCATCTCATCAACCTTACAACCAAATAACATTATTCGATGACCTGCTGTATTTGGAAATTACTTTCCTTTATTGCCTTCCCCAACCCCTAGTTAGAATTTTCTTTTTTTTTTTTTTTTTACATAAAAGGGGATGGAGTATATGTTATATAAGAGATTTGGGGAAAAGGGTAAGGGATGACTACTTTAGTGTACACACATGGGCACAAATCTCTAATGCTATTATTGTACAATGCTCTGGAAATCTTTTCAATTTATTCTTTTTATAAAACAGGACAATAACTAATACAATCTAATATAAGATAACTCACCATCTGCACACATAAGAAAGCATTAAGAAATGTGATAAGATAACAACAACATTAAAAATAGAAAAGAATTTTGAGAAAATTTAAATGATGGCCTTTTAATAAAAATGTGAGAGCTATTAAGCAGTTGAATTTAAATTCTTTAAAAAGGCTGAAGGGAAATTAATATACTAAAGAATTATATGTATTGTTTAATGGAAGCAAAAAGCTCACTTCCGAAAAACACGTGGCCCTAAGTCAAAGCTGGATAGGTAATCTTTCCTTCGGATGAGATCAACTCTAATCTTAGACATGAAATGATGACATCTGTTTGAATATGCTCAGTCCTCTCCCTCCCCTCATTTAATCTCCAACAAGTATTACTACTAAATATTAAGTTTAAATAATGTAAAAAGAACTTTAAAATGTTCAGCACTTTCAACAACTCATCCAGAAATTACTAGGGTTCTGAGCTAAAAAGAACTGGAAAACTACCTAATCTAATGCTCTCACTTTACAAATTAATAAAAAGTAGGCTTCCTGCATATTTCTGTCTTATCCAAAGTTATCCTGTTAAGAATTGGGGTAAGCAGTGCTTGTACACCACTTAGTGTAATACACTATATAGCACTGAATGGCTCTATCTATAGACTTAGGTCCCCAATTATTAGCTATGTGATTTTTAAGTTGTTTAATTAAATGTATTGGGTGGCAGCTATGTGACTTTAAGCAAAGTCTGTTTCCTTATATAAAAATAATTGTATTTATGCCATAGATTAAAGTAATCTTCATAAAAGTTACATATATACTCCAACGACTTAAAATATCTGGTATAATATTAAGAGAAACTGGAACTCTTTCTACTACTACTACTACTACACACACACACACACACACACACACACACACACACACAACCAAGCAAAGAATAGGCAGTTAAATGCCTTTTTCAGTCATCCTGTTTGTCACCAAGCCCTCTCAGAAACTTGTTTTAAGAGTTAATTACATTCTCACTCTATAGCTCAACGAAAAAAACAAACAAAAAAAACCCAACAGACTCCCAGCCCATATGAGGCTCTTTGAACTCTGTTTAAACTAATAGATTTTACAGTTCCTTGTGATGACAACTAAAAAGTTAGCATGAATAAACTCTAACACCGTGATTTCAAAGCTTTAAATACCCACCTATATATAGACACACTTGTAAATTTCAAGCAATTTTAAAAACTCGATAACTTAAATAAAAGACAAGTATAAAAAGGGCACAGCACGAACAGCAAATTTATAATCATAAAGTTCTGCAATGTTTAAGTGCTAATATTAGCAAAATATATGGTGTTATCCTTTTCAAAGCAGTCTTATCACACTGTAGGCATAAATTGTAAATTCATTTACTTTTTTCCAAGATCTACGCTGAACAGAAAGTAAGACATTTTATAGAAACTTGCCAAGTAAAAGCCATGAAAATAGTTAAAATTAAATTCAGTAATAGCTTTAACTTTGTAGCTTTATTTAACCAAATCAAAACACTAAAAGAGCTCCTAATTATTGTATGTGAGTCAATTATACATAGGAAAAGTTTTAAGAAAAAGAAACCCACAATCTTTTATACCTTTCAATGCAATTACTTTGCTAGCTGGATTCATGATGGCGCTGTCTGCTGAAATTGGTCTTCGAATTGGATTACTTGGGTCATTCATGTCAATGATTACCACTTGAGCTTGCTCTCCTACTTTCTCTCTAATGCAGATGAATTTGTCTGACTCCATAGTCAGGGTACTAAAGCCAATGTTTGCTGGGTTTATACCCAGGTTCTGGAGCTAGAGGAGAAACAAACAAACATTAATAAACCATGACACAAAGTGAATTAGACAGACTTGATATTCATATATCATCGTCACTACAAATCCTCATTTAACCAAGTAATGCTTTAAGGTCAACAGTGACAATCCATTACATTGATTCAAGAGAGGCAGTTGATAGCCAAATAATGGACTACCTGTTCTTCCAACAAATGTGGTTTTTGATTATTTTGCTATAACCTTTTAGTTATAACTAGAGATATATAACCTTGTGGTTAAAACTAAGAGGTAGAATAAACAGTAAAGAAAAGAATTATATCTAGCTAGCCTATATGGCAGTGGTTCTCAACCTTCCTATTGCCGAGACACTTTAATACAGTTCCTCATGTTGTGTGACCCCAACCATAAAATTATTTTCATTGCTACTTCATAACTGTAATTTTGCTACTGTTAATCATAATGTAAATATTTGTGTTTTCTGATGGTCTTAGGCTCTACAGCAGCGATTCTCAACCTGTGGGTCGAGAATTAATGCTTCTTAGAACTGCCCTCTTTTTCTCCCTTTAACATTTAGTAATTACTTGTTCACATTAAACTTCAAAATCTAAAAATTAAATCACAGAATAAAAAGAAAGAAATTTAAAAATTTACAGTTTTCGATCAAAGGGAACTTAGATTAGCAAAAGCAGACAGGCAAGTAAAAAAGTTACAGTATTTTACAAAGTGCCAAAACAAATGTAAGAGGGACCTTGTCAAAGACCCATAGCTAAGAGAATGTGTTCAAGAGAGACTAGAGAACGCTGGACAGAAGAACAAATGCTAAAACCCAGCGATGTGAAAGTACGGTCTGCTAAGGGTACTACAAAGTACTTTTGTAACACTGGGAATATAGACTATGAACATGGTAATAAGTGAAGGCTATAAAGATAAGCAAGGGCCAGATTGATAAACTAACTGTACCCCACCAAGGACCCTGAATTTATTTTTTAGGCAAAAAAAGCTACTTAAGGGTTTTAACGAGGAAAATAATGAAATCAGATCCCCTGTGTGTACTCAGAAGATATTAAGTATTTGCTAAACAAATATAGAGGGTCTAAGGATGGAAGGTCTTTAAAACCCAATTAAGGGTATAAAAACAAAGGGCACCTGTTAGAAGAGAGCTCTACCAGAGTAGGTCATTAACACTCTGGGAGTCTAAATGTAGTATATATAACAGACTGTCTCACTAAAAGGCTGCCTGAAGACTTTATTAGCCTTAGCCAGCCTAGTCTCTCCCCGAAACCCTGTTCAATCCTATCTAATAAAGAGGGAATATGCAAATTGACTGTCACACCGTTACAAATATGACAGCACCCATAGCCACAAGATGGCAACACCCGGTCCCATCTACCCCGCCAGAGTTCCCCAGACCTTTCAGCCCCCCCCCCCGGGGGAGGGGGGAGGCAGAAGAGGGTGCAGCAGGCGCACGGTGTGGCCAGACCTGCCCTTAGCCCCCCAGCTGCCCAGGGCAGGCCCAAGGCGCAGGCAAGCCTCCTATGTCAGGACCACCTGAGGCTCAGGTAATCAGGGCCAGCTGAGGCTTTGCGCTGCTGGCATTGGCAGCAGCAGAGGTGTGATGGGGGCGTCGATTTCCCGATTGCTGAGTTGCCTCCCGCCTCTGAAGGCTCCTAGACTGTGGGGGGGGGGGGGCAGACTGGGCTGAGCCCCCAAACCCCATGCATGAATTTTCATGCACCAGGCCTATAGTAGATAATAAATTCAAATGGAACAAAATAGAAACAAAACAAAAAATTCACAGGAGGAAAAAAAAAAAAAAATCAAGTCTTTCTTCTTCCATTGCCTTCCAGATACCAATTTCCGTCCCCAGAGACCACCACTGTCCCTACTCACTCTGGATTGCTAAGCCAAGTTAACTGTATTCCATCTAATTCTTTTATCAAATTCTTCACTATGATCTGAATAAGATACAACCTAAGATTAAGAGACTGCATTTTACTTTCACTCCCCTACTATACCTCAGTGACTTCAGGCACAAGTAATCATAAAGCACAATTATAGGAGTTCAGTTACTGAACACCAGGGCAAGGAGTCAAGCATTTGTCTAACTATTAATACAAGCATGGTAACAAAGTAGAAGATTAACTAGTTTTACAAGCTCAAGTATATGCTGCCATGCATGGCAAGTATACAAGCTGTGAGATATATAACTTATAATGAATTTGGTTACAATAAAACTTTATGAGTTATTAATTTTCATTTTTTTCTTGAGTCTAGTTTTAGTGACCTTTAGTTTAAAAAACGAATGGAGGAGGATAAACCATAAATGATATCCTGATATATACAAAGGGGCTGTGTGGGTCTGTCTAGTTTTAGGTGAGGTGTATATATCTAATTTTCTAAGTAGAGTGCCCTTAAACTTTTCCAAGTTTAATGGATAGTTTTCTTCCCAATAACTGGAGAAAACATCCCAGTAGTTCATAAACCTCCTATAAATACATATATCAAAGCAACATGTTATATTCTAAACTACTCTGTAAAGTAAGAATTCTAGGTTTCTGTCACTAGATAAGGCAATTCTGAGCTTCAACTGTCACAGCTGAAGCCCTAGTGTTTGAGAACAAGTAAAATAGTTCTCTGAATTACAGACTCCTGGTCAAACCACAAATAAATTCAAAGGACATAAGAGTTTCTGAACCTGCAGGTATTTTCAGAGAATACAATAATGATATCCAAACCCAGCCACATTTTATCCTCTCAATTGGCAAAACGTTGCTCTTGCTGATCCTGGAGGTACTCTATTTTGAGATGTGCTTGGAAGTTTCTATGATAAAACTGTTTTTAACGTCAAAGAACTTTTATTTCGCTGGTACAAAATAAGAATACGAAGTCAATAAATTTAGGTTTAAAAAGTATTTACTTATTTTTAATAGTTATTACATGGATACAGCAAATTATTCAAACTGTTCAAAAAGGGTATACTGGTATACTATGAAAAGTCACCCATTCCACGTTTCTAGTTGTTCCTCCCCCTCCCAGCAATTAAATACTTTTCCATCTAAGACATAACCTATGCATATTTCCATCCTCCCTTAAAAAACAAACAAAAACACTAAAGGAACATGTGCTAAAGTATACAAATTATCAAGTTCCTCCCTTGTTAAAGAAAACCAACCAAACACTGTAACTCATTTGGTTTCCAGACTAGATTTTGACACTGGCCTACAAGTGGCACAGCTTTAGGACTGAATGCTTATGCTGAGTTTAGATTCCAAAAAGCAAGTACAGATTTATTATTAAACAATCAACCCAAAACTCTAAAAGTGCCTTAAGAGTTACAGGTTATAAGTGATATAAACATATTTCCTTTTCCCTCTTACCCTCCCCTCAATTTAGATTAACACGCCTGGGGATAAAAGACAGACACTAAACTGCAGTCTTAGTTTTTAGTGAAAAATATCATTTCAGACTCCCTGTAATCTAGACAACAAAGAAGGTTCTTCATTCAGGAAAACAATTACTGTCTAAATGTATAACTTTGATTATAAAATACAAGAGCCATACAGAATTAACTAGTTCTGTGGGTTGCATCAGAGCTAAAATATCTAGGTCCCAGTTTTGCCACTTAATAGGGCACAGACAAATCAGTTATCTCTGTACATAGTTCCTCATCTGAAACCTCTGAAGTGATAGCAGTTATTCCAGCGCTGTGAGGATTTAATATGAAGTACTTAGAACAATGCCTGACACATAGTAAAGGCTCAATAGATACCATTAGTACAAGCAACACATCTCAAGGTTAGATTTTTTTGTATTTTCATGTTATTATCTGCTTAATTCAGCTGTCCTAAACGTTGGCTGAAACTCTGGGTGTGAATTTATTTTTACTACTGATAATAGATAAGTGGTCTCTGAGTGCCTGACTTACTCCGATGTTGAAATGCCCTTTTTCTCCCTTTTCTGACAAAATAAATTACATTTAAAAACTTCCAATTCTGCTCTTTAATTTGCCTAACTAAAATAGGTAGAGACCAGAATTTTCAATACCATGTAACATGTGATTCTAAGTAACTCTATTTTCATTCCTATTTTTAGGGGCATTATGGACACAACAATATTGCTAAAGCTTTCTAACAAACCTGACAAACATGTTAACAGTTTGCTGAGAGAGAAAACTGGGATAGCTAAGACAAACATGTTATATGGTCAGTATCATCAAAAATTTTCTTTACCCTAAAGAGAAACAGAAGGTACAGCCACACATTTCTCTCCTCAATGTGCCTGGTTCAAAGATAGTCAGTTTCTCTCTCTTTCTTTCTCTCTCTCTCTCTCTCTCTCTCTCTCTCTCTCTCTCTCTCTCTCTCTCTCTCTCTCTATATATATATATATATATATATATATATATATATATATATATATATATATATCACACACACACTCACTCACTCACGTCATGGACCAAAATTCCAGGTCAATTTATGCAACTAAACTTTAAGCTTAAGTAAAAGAACTTGCCTAAAGAATGTAAACCACCCTAGCTGGTTTGGTTCAATGGATAGAGTGTTGGCCTGTGGATTGAAGGGTCCCAGGTTTGATTCCAGTCAAAGGCACATGCCTGGGTCGTGGGCTTGAACCCACGGGGGTGTGCAGGAAGCAGCCGATCAATGATTCTCATCATTGATGTTTCATTTCTCTATTCCTTTCCCTCCCTCTCTGAAATCAATAGATATTTTTTTAAAATGTAACCATCAAAAGCATGAAAATTGCTTTTGTCTATGCTATTTAGTATGCCTAACTAAGGTTATTGAGGTCAGAATCTTCTTACACACAAGAACATTTCCAGCCCTGGCCAGATAGCTCAGATACACCAAGGTTGGGGGGCTGGATTTCCAGCCAGGGCACATACAAGAATCAACTAACGAATGCATAAATAAGTGGGGGGGTGGGGGAGATCAATGTTTCTGTTTTTCTCTCTCTCTCTCAAATAAAAAGAAAGAATATTATCAGAACTAATTATGGAA